TAAAAGCATTTCTTTTATAATATGGAACAAAACAATATCTCCTCTGATCATTTCTAATCATCACTGAACTGATGAACCCATCTAGCATGTTTGGAACCCTCTAAATAATAATAAAGATATTGCAATTGAGTGAAAAAAACTAAACTGTCACTATTTGTAAATAATATGTTTGGATAATAGAAAAGTAAAAGAAACTACAAATATATTATCAGAATAAGAAAGTTTAGCCAAATTGTGGGATATGTTCAAAGTATAAAAGTCAATTGTATTTTTAAATTCCTTTTACAATTGAAAAAATAAATATTCAAGTACCTAGAAGTACACCTAGCAAAATATGTAAAGACTTTTTAGAGAAGAAAATTATAAAGTTTTATTAAAAGAAATTAAAGAGGGGCGCCTGGGTGGCTCAGTCGGTTGAGCTTCCAGCTTCAGCTCAGGTCATGATCTCAAGGTCCATGGGTTCAAACCCCGCGTCTGGCTCTGTGCTGACAGCTCAGAGCCTGGAACCTGCTTCGGATTCTGTGTCTCCCTCTCTCTCTGTCCCTCCCCCGTTCATGCTCTCTCTCTGTCTCAAAAATAAATAAACATTAATTTTTTTTTAAGAAATTAAAGAGAACCTAAGTAAATGAAGAGGTGTGTCATAGTCATGGATTGGATGACCTTTAATTATGACGTCAAAAAAAAAAAAAAAATCTCCCAGTTGATTTACAGATTCACTGTAGAAGAGCTCTGCAGTTTTTTGCTGGAAGTTAAGCATTTTTTAAAATTTATGCAGAAGAGTGAAAGCCAATATTAGCCAAGATACCCCTGAGGAACAAGTTGGAGAAACTTGCATTGTCATATGTCAAGACTTAAACATGTAGTAATTAAGACATTGGTTATTTAGCATAGACACAAATGGTACAACATTAGAAATCCTGAAATAGTACCACACACATATAGAATGTGGTGTATATAACAGGTAGCATTGTAGATCAATTGGGAAAGGATGTTCAATAAAAGGTGTTCGGATAAATTGATGATCCATATAAGAAAAAATTAAGGTTGGATTCACATCATGTGAATTAATTTCAAGTAAAGATCTAAGTACAAAGGCAAAAAACCTTACAACTAGGGGGAGCAAAGTGGAAGAATATCTTTGACTTCAGGGTAGGGAAAGATTTCCTCATAGAGATATAAAGTACAAACTCTATATAAAGGAAATATTTAAATTAACATCTGTTGATCAAAAGACACTAGAAAGAAAGTGAAAAGAGAAGCTCAGACAGGGAGCAATAGATAGAACCTTCAAAGGATTTGTAACTTTCTAGAGTGTGTAAAGAAAACTTTAAAAATCAGTAAGAAAAAGACATTCTTAGAGAAAAAACATCATAATATGTATTTCTCAAAAGAAGGAAAAGTGAATGACCAATTTTAGGAATGAAAAGGTGGTCAACTTAAATAGTAAACAGAGCAATGCAAGTTTAAACCATAAGAGAATATGTGTATGCTCTGAAATTAGCAAAAATAAAAAGTCTGACAGTATGCATGTTAGCATGAATCTGATGCAGTGAGCACCAGCATCTGCTTTGTTGGAGTGTAAATTTGGTTACAACTACTTTGTAATACAACATATCATTTAGTGAAATTGAATGTATGCATTCATGTGTTTCTTTAACCCAGCAAATCCATTTCTAACAGTGTACATACTCTTAGAGAAATTCTTACACCCATACGCCAGGAGACAAATAAGATATTCATACTAGCATTGTTCGTAGTAGTAAAAAACGAGAAACATTCTAGATATTTATAAACAGAAGAGAATGATGAATTGTATGCACATAATGTTGGGGAATACAGCAGGAAAGTACACTTAACTTTCTATATACATTTTAAAGCATGCAGATTTTATTTATTTTTAATGGTTATTATGTACATCTTTTTTTATTTTTAATGTTTATTTTTGAGAGAGAGAGAGAGCGCCAGAGCGAGGATGAGTGGGTGAGGGGGAGGGGCAGAGAGAGCTGAGAGACAGAGCTGTCAGCACAGAGCCGACTCGAGGCTCGAACCCACCAGCCATGAGATCATGACCTGAATTGAAGTCAGATGCCTAACTGAGCCACCCCGGTGTCCCAAAGGATCCAGATTTTAAAAGTTATATAGAATTACATGTATTTATGTGAAAAAACTATAAAGGAAATAATAAAATCAAAATTCAGAATAGCAATTACTCCTGGAATAATAAGAGAAAAATGTGGTTAAAGAGGCACATTGTATTAGTTAAGATACAGGTTCAGCTACATTTGTCAGAAACCCTACATAGTGACATAAACAAGATACAAGTTTATTTCTTTGTCTTAGATTGAAAATATCCTAGATATGACAACCACATTCTACATGGTGATCTAGGAGCTAGGCTTCTCTTTTGCTTAATCTTGTATTATCCTCATCTACATGGTTATGGTAGCTCCGCACCACAGCTGTGTTTCAAGTATAACATGGAGGAATGGAGGAAATGAGTGACCTAAAAGGTCACTTCCCAGAAGTTGCACACATGACTTCTGGCTAGAATTTAAGTAATTTTTTAGATCCACAGAGGCTTGAGAAATGTGCCTAGCTGAAAATCAGCAGTTCTACAACAGACAAAAAGCAGAGGTATTGGAGGAAAGTAGCAATATCTGCTGCAGGCTAATGAGGGTGGAGTAGGAGGAGAAGGCATAATTGGTATTGTTCTGTTTCTTGAAATAGGACGGTAAGTATAGGTGTCCTTCTAATATTTTATTTTATGCCTTCCCTATAAATTATATATTTTTATGTATATGAAATTTTTCATTATTAAAGCTAAGAAGTTTAGTGGATACTTTTTGGCTTTGTTTTGCTTGAATCTTCTGCAGCATATGGAACTATCGATCATACCCTCTAAACATTTGAGTTTTTATTGGCAAGAATCTCCTGGTTTTTCTCTTATTTTTCCATCCATTTCTTTTCAGCCTCCTGGGCTTCACTTTCTCTGCAGGGAACAAAAAGGCCTTTTCCTAGATGCCCCTCACTTGTCTCCAAAATTATTTAGGATAGTTTCAAATTGGCTAATGGGTTTCCTGGAGTTGGAAAAAATTCAAGAAAAAACTAATTATATGGTAAATATTCAGATTTTATCACCTTTTGTTCATAATGCTCTATCCATATAAGGAAAAGGGAGGTTAGCACCCTTTTTTCTTTGTAATTTCAAAGATTTTTTTATATCTTTCTGAAGTACAGCATAAAAGGACAAATAATTCTAGAGTGAGTCCAAAGTATCAGTGTATCCTGTAAAGATAAAGAACAGCAGTTGTTCCCATAAATATACACATATCATTAGAATAAATCTTGGAAACAACTCACATTATTATAATCATGTATAAACATATTATATCTTTTGTATAAAAACCCATCGATTTACTTGACCTCCCAGAATGACTGCATTTCTTAACCTTCCTTGCAGCTAGGTATGACTCTGTGACCTAGGTCTTGGCTAATGGAATGTAAACAGAAGTCACTGCATGATAAATTTTAGCATATGTTAACAGGAACTATTTTTTCCCCAGTGAAATAGTCTCAGGCATATATGCATTTGAGAATTTGCATTCACTTAATTTTTATTAAAGCAAATAAAATAAAATGCAGTTGGTTAGCATTCAGGTTTCAACCATATGTCAGGGACTGTGTCAGATTCTGGGAATACAGCATTGAACAAATTATACTCCCAACCTTCCAAGGAGCTAATAATAGTCCATAAAAAGTCTAGTTGAATGCTGTGGTAGAGATAGATGTGCCTAAGGTGCTATGGAAACGTAGAAAATGCCAAGGTTAGCTAAGAAACTCAAGAAAGTTGACAAACCTCATGTAAGTTTATAAAATAAAAGTGTTTAAAAATAGCATCTAAAGATCTCTTATTAGCATTTTAAATATCAATTACATTAAAAAACACAATGAGTCCAAATGTTATTATAGGGGATAATAGAGGTTAAGAGTGAAGGAAGGAGTACAGGTGAGCTCGACTGTAAAAATATTTTCTCTATTTTATAGATCTTTGCTTTACTAATTTTATAACCAGAAAAAAGAATTTAAAATCCAGATTTTAAACAGAATATGTACTTCTTAATGTACTAAGATAACTTTTTTTGGTTTAGCAACATGGTTTTCCTAAGATTCCTGGACTCAAATCTTTATTTTTAGAAATGCAAACTCGTGTAACATATTGTGTGTTTTATACATATTCTTTTAATGTTTTAAGTCAAATTTTACCTAATGTAAAAAGTACAATGCTCATAGTACTTCACAGTTATTCCAGTGTAGATATTTTCTTGCATTGGAATTTAAGACAGAGAATCCAGTTTCATTCATTGATTGTAACAGATTGCAATGAGGAAAACAGTATGCACAATTCTTAATCCTAACATAGCACCTGCTCACCATCAGTTACAGTTGTCACTAATGTGGAATGTAGCCATTGTCTTGTATTTATGTTTTTAATTTTTTTTTAAATATTTATTTTTGAGAGAGAGACAGAATATGAGTGGGGGAAGGGCAGAGAGAGAGGGAGACACAGAATCCGAAGCAGGCTCCAGGCTCTGAGCTGTCAGCACAGAGCCTGACACGGGGCTTGAACCCACAAACTGTGAGATCATGACCTGAGCTGAAGTCTGATGCTTAATCTACTAAGCCACCCAGGCACCCCTGGCCATTGTCTTTTAACCCAAAGTTCTTCACACTTATTTTTCCTTATTGTGATTTTGTAAGGTAAAGGAAGACTTTGCTCTTCCTTTTGAAAAACTGAAAAGGGATTAGTGAACTCTCATGTTTATGACCTTGAATAAATGACAAAGAGTATATCCCTTTGTCATTTTCAAGTTCTTTCTCCAAGGTGACTTAGTAAACTAGAACTTTCTTGTGTCATTTAGATACTGTACTTGATAACTATTATATCCTCTCTGAGTGATTCAGTTTTTAAGCAAAAATGAAGTCTTTCTTTTCCCTTGCAGACTTTGCCTTCAAAAGAAACAACATTTTTAAATACGACGCAAATGCCTTGTTTGCAATCAGCTTCAACTTGGAGTAGCTGTGAACACAATTCAAAATCTCAGATATTAAGAGAGCATGTATCAGAATTGGACTCTTCTTTCCATTCTGTCCTATCATTGCCGTCAGGTAAGTCCACTTATAAAAAATTTCTAAGTAACTGCATATTTCTATGGTGAAAGGTAATCCTATGGATATATGGAATCAAAATTGTATCAATTATTTTGTCACTAGATATTAGAATTAAAGTTTTCATAGAGGAATTAATCCTGAGTTAATGTTCTATCTTTGCAAGTTGATTCTTTAATTCCTTGGAAACTGTTTTGATTTACATTGATTACAGACTAGCTTTTGATCTTTTCAGGGTTAAATTTTTAGAATTTTATTGATAACTTGACTATGCTGTTGAAATGGTTGTCAGGAAGTCAGTGTTCTTTTTCTCATGTGTTATTCTGCATGGAATTTTCTCTGCCATATAATATTCCTCTGTTTATAATCAGCATGAGTTTCCCAAGAGAAGAAAATTGTCCGTCTTTAGGTATAGCTAATTTTTGAACCTCAAGAAAATCTATAATCCGTAACTGAGTAAATGAGGCACATACAGTCCCACCTCCTTTTAGGTTTCTAGTTCTTGATTTTTGTTGGAACCATTCCAGTTGTTTCTGTATTGAACTGAAGTAAATATTTAGGGTAAGAAAGGAAACATTCTTCACACTGGTTATTTCAGGTTCTTCTCTGTATGGGAAGACGTCTCAAATGGGCTTTTGTGTTTCCTTTTCAGTTTTCAGTTTTAATCATCCACGGATGGCTCGTCTTCACAAAACACTATTTCTTGTACCTGTTCCTGCCCTGATTCCTGAATCTTAGTTTTTGTTTGTTTGTTTGTGTTTTGTTTTTACCAGTATTTGAGTGGTTTCTTAGCTACATAATACTTTGAAGTAAGTTTCTGGCAGGAGCTGTGTTATTCCATCTTTGAGGAAAACTTAATGATAGAAACAATAATAAATACACCAATAATCAGCCAACATTTGGGCTTAGCATACCCATAAGCACATTACATTGTCTTAATTCTTTCAACAACCCTACGAGAATACATAGTTGTCCTCTTTATCTTACATACAAGAAAATTGAAGCTAAGAGATTTTAAATTACTATTCCAAGATTATACAGCTAGTAAATAATGGAGGCAGGATTTGATGTGAGTAGTCATACTTCAGAGCTACACTCCTAACCTTTACTCTTTACTGTCTGTTTTCTCATAGTACATTTGTTTCTCTGATGATACACCCCTGAGAGCTGATAGAATTATCCTTCATTTTAATCCTCTTAGGTCCCCTCCAATAAGTTAAGATTAACTTCCTCACCTGCCAGTTAGTGTTATTCATTTCTTCTTGCATTCATTTAATAAAGATTAAGTACCTACTGCTTACTAGGTACTAAGTAGGTATTAGGAGTATAAATACAAATAAATCCCTCAAGGTACTTGCATTCTAGTTTAAGAAAACTGAAATGTAAACTGATTGATGTACTACAGTGTTATGATATATTTTTATAGAAGCCCAAAGTCACAGGGTAGGCACTAAGAAAGATATATGGATGGAACAAGGGCCTAACCCTAGTTTTCTCACAACTCATGATGAACAGTGGTAGAATAGGTGATATTTTCTTTATAAAAATAAGTGATACTTCTTCAGAGAAATAAGCTTATTTTTTGGTAATTGGAAACCATTGGATTCCTAAAATGTATAAGTAGCATATTTAATTTGTATTCTTAGTTTCATTTCGTTATGTAGTTTTTGTATGATCATAGTATATAGTGCTAGGATTGAAATCTTTCCTACCTCTGTTCTGTCCCTTGGGACAGATTCCATGTTGAAACTCATGAACATATTTTTTTTTCCCCACACTTGAGTATGGATCTGTTATTAATATACAGCGTTTAAGAAAGAGGTACTTCTTTGTTTAAAGTCCAGACTCATTCTAGGTCTGTTCTGATTTATATGTTTGTAATTAGTTTTCTTTTTTCAGTAGCAAAACTTTAAATACATCAACTGCTTTATGAAATATTTGTTTCTTAGGAAGCAGTTTACGTGTCTCTATTAAATGCTTTATTTTAGCGTTCTTGATTGAAAAAAAAATGTGAAGCACATCTACTTTATTATTTAGCTCCTCTTTTGGTTGTGAGAATATAGAATATATAGTGAATTGAACATCTTAAGTCTCTATTTGAAGGAAAGGAACTAGTCTGTATGTAAAAGTGTATTTTGTCATTCACAATACTAGTAAACTAAGGGAATGTGAACCTTGGTATTTTTATAAAATGTTGCATCTGAATTACAGTGGTTTTCCCTCAAGTAATTAAAATTATGTATCTTTTAGAAACCTCATTATTTCAAATGTCAAGTTTGTGGGGGTGGGTGGAATGAACTTAGGTGGCCGGGTTTTGCTCTGTTTTATTCAAGACCTTTGGCTGCATTTGTTTCATCTATGAATACTACTTACTAATACTAATAATTTCTATCATCTTATTATTTTGGTTTATGAACTTGTTCATCATCAGAGTTTTTGTTTATTTACAGCATATAATCAGTAATTTCCAAATTTCTCTCTGTATGCTTGGAAAGAGTATTTTGCCACTTCTGATAGTTGTGACATTTTAAGCTTTTGCTTATTTTTCTAAGCTTATGTGCTACTTAGAGAAAGAAAGCAATCTTAATATTAGAGTCCGTAAAGAGTGGTATTCACTCAAAGTACTTTTACTTTATTTTGCCAGATGTGCCTCTTCATTTTCACTTTGAAACATTGCTAAAAAAGACTGAAATAAAAGGAGATCTTGCTGAAAATAAATTAGTAGGAGACTGTGTCATATCTCCATCACCTGGTATGTCATTTACAAATCTTGTACTTTATATATGTTTTACATCTTTCCGATTTTCACTGTTTTTGCTTTCTAAGGAAATAAAATTTAACAGAAGAACAAATCTAAATCCTTAATTTTTAATATTCACTTTTTACAAATTACCACACACACACAAATAGAAAATACACAGGAGTGATCTTAAGAAGAAATGTGATACTGAATGAAAATTATGAAATGTTATTAGTAAATATAAAAGGAAATCTAAATACACTTAGAGAAACAGCATTCCTAGACAAGATTAATAAGGATATCAGTTCTTCCTATTGGTTTATAACTTGAAGTTCTAATAGATTTGGTTATTTTAACAAAATAATTGGAAAGCCCACTGGGAAGAATAAATGGGGAAATACAAAGTAACTGCTGGAAAAAGTATTCAGAGAATCCATCTCAACCACATATGGAAACATGACAAAAATATGTAATAATTATTAGCATAGATTTTGCATACAATTAGGAAAGTAAATCCATGAAGCAGACTATATAGCTTATACTTTATAATGTAAGGGAAGAATTGTAAATTCATGAGAATGTGGAGAACTATTCAGTAAACAATATTTTAGTATTGTTAGTCTTTGGGGGGAAATTTTGTTTACGTACTTATTTCATACCATGTATCAGAATAAATTCTAGTTGGTTTCAAGAACTTGAAATAAAACACTAAAATTACAAAATAAAACTTGAAGAATTAAAATGAAATTGTTTTCAGTATTATGAATGGGGGCAGGGACATTGCCTATGCTTGGAAACAAGAAGAGAAACATCAACATATTTTGACCATCTACAAGGCTGAAATCTTTCTAACATCAGAAAATTCATACAAACTGAGATAAATTCTTTCTAGATGAAATAATCATCTACCTCAAAAACTCAAGAATCAACTGAATGCCTGTTAAAATTGGGAGTCTGAAAAAGTATAGGAATTTAAAATATATTTATAGAAATCAGCAGCTTTTATAAATACCAATAATAACCATTTACAATATGTAAAGGAATTTTTGAGATATTGACAATGAAAATATAAACTATCTAGGATTAATTAAATTTGTAAGGGTCTACACGAAAGAAAACTTCCAAAGTTTTATTGAGGAATGCAAGATGATGTGCCTAAATAGAAATACCCTGTTCCTGTCAGAAGACAGTATTTTAACATGTAAAGTGAGTAACACTATTGTTTTTCTCCTTGACTAGTTTTCTCAAAGTCACATTTGGGTAAGTGATAGGGCCAGGATTCAAATCCAAACAATCAGGCTCAAAGAATTCATGTTTTAAACAACTAAGTTTCCTTTGTAATCAGTGAATTAAACAATGATTTTGGGGAAACAATTGAGATCTCTACCACATACAGCACATTAAAATAAATTTAAGATGGGTGAACGTTAAATACATTCCAGATGGATTAAAGAGTTAAATGTTAAAAATGATGTCTTAAAAGAATTATAAGAAAAACTAGATGTATTTAATGATGATAATAATGAAAATGATAATCATAAGTAACATATACTGAGTGCTTATGTGCAGACACCATGCTAAACATTTACTATCTTCTGATTACATTAAGACATTTAAACATTATAATCATCAATTCTGGCAAGACTGTGTGTAGTAAAAACAGGACCCTCAAATATTTTAGGTAGCATTAAGAATACAAACCTTTTGGAAAGTATTGGGAAATGAATGACAACGCCCTTAAACTACCTATTTTTTAAAATAAACTCATTGAAGAAAAACACTGTTTACTTGTTCACTTGCTTACAATTAATGTTTACTAAACTGCTAACTCTGTTTTCTGACCCAATACATCCATTTCTAATAACCTAGTCTAATGCTAAATACAAATATATTCATTTATATTTACAAATATATTCATTTTAAACACTATTTGTGTTAATGGGAAATTGGAAACAGAGCATAATTGAGATGTGATTAACCAACACAGTGGGACATACAGCTTTTAAAAATATCTTAAAAGTTCATGTAAGGATGGAAACATTAAAGAATGTTAAGTGATAGAAAAGGACAAAAAAGTTTTACTTCTGTGTATGGTCTGATTATAACCATATAAAAATGTTCATTCTTCTTTCAACCAAATGTAACATGTGGGCCTTTTGGGGATCCTGATTTGAACAAGTCACCTGTACGACCACACAAAATTTTTGAGATAATAAAAATTTGAAATTTGAACATGCAGGCTGTTGAGTATTAGTGAATTAATTTTGTTAGATGTAGCATGCATGTGTAGTAATGCATGTAGTAATTACATAAACACACACACACTTTTTATCTGTTTGTTAGAAATTCAAGCTCACACATACGTCGATGACAAGATAGAAGATAGGCAGTCCAGGATTTGCTTTAAAATAGGCCAGCAAAAAAAAAGTTGGTGGGGAAAAAGATGAAACAAGATTGGTCACCAGTTTGTAATCATTGGTTATGAATATAGGCACAGGGGAGTTCATTCTTCTCTTCCTCATTTGTGTTTGTTGAAATTTTTCCATGGTAAAAAGTTAAAAAAAATAAGTGGAAAGCACTAAGGACAAGCAGCAGTTGCCTATGCTTAGGGGAGAAAAATCTAAAGAAATGCAGGAAAATATAGGTTATGTGCAGGTAATTTTTCATGATATAATTCTACTACTTGAAATTTTTCCTTAGACTGATCTTTAAAAAAGAAAATATGTATGCATGAAGATGATCATTTTAAGAATGACCATAATAGAAATATCATGATTAACAACAACCAGCTCTAATAGCTAGGGAATAGTCAAATGATATTATCTCTAATTAGAAGAGTGTTAGGCAACCATCTGAAAAAATAATTTGTGAATTATCAAATTTGAAAAATAAGTTAAACTACATTTGAAATGTGAATATGAAATGTATGCACATGTATAACTGAAAAGGGAATATGCAAAACTGAAATTATATGCTGTTAGATAAGTGAGATTAGGTGATTATATTTTTTCTAATGTTGTTCTGTTTATCTATTTGACTTAAAAAGATAGGGCAGTGTAAATGTGTTAGTCACAGAATTAATGGTAACATACCAGTAATGCAATGCCATGCTAGTTAGGGGGAATTAAGAGCTAGGAATGGAAGACATTTGAGATGAGTGCTGCTGTATTATTAGGCAAATCATCTGAGTATGTAGTCTTCTGTATCTCGATCTCTCCTCCCTTATTTTCTTCCCCTACCACTCCAAACCCAAATAATTAAGGGTTAATTAGGTTTCATCGTATATAAGCATGTCTGGAATAGTCGCTTGTTATTTTTTCTTTTATTGTTAAGTGATTTCTGTAGAATTAAGTAAAACTAGAGTTCAACATTTATTGATCATATACTCTGTGCCAGGCAGACTAAGTGCTAAAGAATCAAAGGTGAATCACAGGGAATCAAAGAAATTATAATGTAATAGGGGGAAGCAGACACGCAAATAACTATTAAAATGATGTGAGCACAGATATGACAAAAACATTCTAAAAAGGAGAGGGAGTGTAGAACTCTCTGCCTGGAGGAAGGCAGAGTGATGGGGAAAGGGCAAGAGGAACTCCAGAAAGATGGTGATGCCAGGTGTAGCTTTAAATACTCAATTGGAATTTAAAGGAAGAAGAGCAAAGTGTTCCAAATCATTCTTTCTCAAACTTTTATGTGCAAATTACTTGGGCGATATTGTTAGAATACAGATTCTGGTTCAGTTAATCCTGGAATGAAGTCTGATTCTGGATTTCTAACAAGGTCCCAGGTGATTCAAACGCTTGGACCCATATTGGTTTTAAAATGGAAACAAACGTGATTTGTCACGGAACCATAAGACAGGGTGATGTGTTTAAGTATATACAGACTGCCTGGTATTCTTATAGGGTAAACCGTGTGAAGGTAAGTAGATGGATGTTTGCGAGCTTTGCCACAGAGCTTGTATTTATCCTCTGTCGTCCAGAATTGGCAATTAAGAAAGCACAACTGACTTCAAGTAACAAGTAGGGAAAAGACAAATTGTAGTGGTTTGAACACTGAATGATTAGTAGCTAATCATGAGGAAATACCAGGCAAAGCCAATTAAGGGCCTGTATTCATCAAAACATGCAGTCATGGAAGACAACAGTGGAACAGTTTTAGATGTAAGAAAACTTTAGAGATACGACAAATGCAGAGTGAACAGTTTTCTATAAATAACATTATAGGAATAATTGGTGAAATTCTATGAAGTCCATAGTTAGCTAATAGTATTAATTTCATTTTGATGGTTGTGTGGCCATGTAAGAGAATGCCCTTGTTTTTGAAAAATACATATTGACATAGAGGTACATCATGTCAACAACTTAATTTCATTGGAGTTCAGAAGGATAAAGCAAATATGGTAACATTTGCAGAATCTGAGTAAAGGGTATATGGGACTTCTTTTTACTATTCCAAGTCTGAAATTGTCAAAATGAAGTTTATTTTTTTAGTGGACAGATGAGAGGAACAGTAGCGCTGAAACCCACACAAGCCAAAAACCTAGGGCTCAGGTTTCTTCACCTACATGTCCTCATATCTAAGCCCATTGTCCTTTTGATCTTAATTATTTCAAATATGCTCCTCTGTCTTCATTTCTACCACTTTCAGAGTCCAGTGTAATGATCCCTTATCTATACTGCTGAAATAGCCTAATCAATTCTTCCTTCTCTCCAATCCCTGTAGCTTGTGATCTTTTCAAGATGCAAAGCTACTTATATCACACCTGCTCCCCACCACTATAACTTAAAATGATTTGAAAGGAAGTATTATTGAGGGACCCCTAAAGCTCTACCCACACAGGATGGCTCCTACCTGTTCATGGTTCTTTTTCACTATCCTCCTTACTCTCTACTACCTAGCTGCTGTTCTGTTGCCAAATTTATCTGGCTTCCTGTTGGGCCTCTCTATACATACCGTTCTCTTCCCCTTGACATCAGTTATTTCTATTCATATTTGAAATCTACCACTTTACCTGGGGTACTTTTCCTAGAGCTCTCTTACATACTCCCATTAACTTCTCTAAATAGCACTTCTCTTTTCTGTTACACATTGGTTGCAGTTATTTGAGATAATGCCTGTAAAGCCCATTAGGGGCAGGGATCATGACTCTGCTCACCAGTGCCCCTAGGGTACTTGGTATTGTAATTAAGTCTTTATAGTTAATGAATAAATGAAAGGGAAGGCAGGAGACAGGAGAGATATGGGGTCAAAGTGTGTTTTAGGATAGAATCTAGGAGAGGATTTTGGAGAGCAAGCACTGAAAGGCTGAGAGGGTTATAAATAGACGAAGAGAATGTATAGTTTTTCAGTTGTCATATTACCTACTGTTTCAAGAGTCCATTGCAACCTCACAAGACAATAAGGGAAAGTAAGTGTAAAAAAATGATTAAAATTCAATAAAAAGTATCACCTTAGGGAAGGTTAAAGTTTCTTAAAAAAGTTTGACTTGCTTTTAGAAAAAAAGGAAGGTGATGAATTGCTTTTAGAAAAGAAGAGTGAATTGACTGGAATTTGTTTGAAAATACTCCAAAAATGTTTCCATTAAAACAAGAGATGGCATTATCGGAATACCTGCCCATGCCAGGCACATACAATTTTAAAACCTCACAATTCTAGTTACCCTTTCTAGAAATGGGTTTAGAATTATGCCTGCCATCTTGTTTTGTTTTCTTTGTGACATCTTTCTCTAAAGTCTTTGGGTGGTAAGAAATCTTGGGGCCATCTTAGAATTCTGCCATTTTCCCTGAGCTTTTTAAGGTCACTTTCTGTTTTCAGGCAGGTAGTTTTGCCTGGTCAATTTGATCATTTCTTTGCAGTAATCTTATCCCTTTTCTGGTAAGTTTGAGGGTATCTTCATTGTGATGTGCTGTAAGATTAGAATTCTTTCCCCCTCCACTTGTCTTGACAGCCAAGTGAGTTCTCGAAATCTTAGGGTTAATATGACTGTGGAAAAACTTTGGCCCATTTCTTCAACATTGGCTACCATTCATTCTGTTACCCTGTTTTGGTTTGTCCCCTCCCCCCACCCCCAATATTTTCTATCACTCTATTCCTTTGAGTTGTACAGTTCTCAGTCAACCTAGATTTTGATGTTTAGCCCGTGTCCACTGTATCATTCAGTCCAGTTAGTGATGGTTGTTTTTAAATTTGAACAATCATATTTTCCATTTCTGAGGGCTCTCTAGTTGGGCCTTTTGCCTGTTTCTTCTGACAATGTTAGTTGTTTCAGTCTTGTTAACTGTATTCTGTGCATCCATTCACTATTACTTGAGATGGTTCATTTCTACATCTTCTTTGACTTTTACGGTGTTGGTATTCAGATTTTTGGAGTCTTGTGTTCTCACCTTTACAGTTCATATTCACTATTAAGACTGTTCTGCCACTGCTATTTATGGGATCCTTTCCCTGGATGGGTAGAAGTTGCAGTATATACTATTTTCAGGAGCAGTTAAGGTCAGGCAGGACATAGTTCAAAGTGAGGCACTTAGTATTGCTTTCTCATCCATTTCTCTGCTCGGCTTGGATTTTGTTATCTATTAAGACAGATAATCTCAAGGAGTGTGGCTGAGAAGTTGGCTTGTGTAGTCATCCTTTCAGTTAACTGTCCATCTAAGTAATTATCCTCCACTTTCATTTCCTCCAGGTCTAGAGCACCTTTGATGGTCATAGTTTTGCGGCAGCACTTTCTCATGTGCTTTTACCTTGATTGCTCTCCAAATTCCATGTGGTATTAGTCTTTCAGAGATTCCTCACAAATTCTGCTTTACTCACAAGTTCCCTTTTATTGCTTGCTAGTGTGTGTATATATATATGTGTATATGTGCACATCTGTGTGTCTATGTATAAAACTTTTGTCTGTTACTTTTAGGGTGCTTTGTCATCTTGTAATCAGAGTCTGGTTACTGTTGGTAGACCACACTCTGTTTTTCAGTGTTGGTGAGAATTTGGCACTTAGGCCTACATTTCTTTTTCCATTCCTTTCCACATCTCCAACCCCTTCAAAAAAAAGCCAATTTGGTTATTAATCCAGTACTGGAAATATGGGTTTCAGATAGACAATAATGATCATGAAGAAACTAACATTTATTAAATACTTCGGGTAGGTATCCTCCTAATGACCATTACAGGGATTAACTCATTTAATCCTCATAATCCCATGATAGGTGCACTTATCCCTATTTTACAGATAAGGCAACTGAGGCATAGAGACATTAAGTGACCCTAAAAGTTTTAGAAAATACATTGCTTTTAAAATTGAAAGAACAGGGGCGCCTGGGTGGCGCAGTCGGTTAAGCGTACGACTTCAGCCAGGTCACGATCTCGCGGTCCGTGAGTTCGAGCCCCGCGTCGGGCTCTGGGCTGATGGCTCAGAGCCTGGAGCCTGTTTCCGATTCTGTGTCTCCCTCTCTCTCTGCCCCTCGCCCGTTCATGCTCTGTCTCTCTCTGTCCCCAAAATAAATAAACGTTGAAAAAAAAAATTAAAAAAAAAAAATAAAATTGAAAGAACAGTGCTAGGTACCGTCAGTTTGATGAAATCTGGTTCTTGCCCTCAAGAGGTCCCAGCCTCTTATAATTCTGTAGGATCTTACTTGATCCTGAATTATTTTCACATTGAAGGGTGAGCAGGGGCTAACTTAAGGATTCATATCATCCTCAGGCAACATTTACAGATGTGAACCAACCTCCTCTATAAAATTTTGCAATTTAGAAGACTTCGAGAACAGGTCACCTTTTCGTCCCCTTCAAATAATGGAGCAACTATAGGAAATTGGATGCTTATGGAAGAGGTTTTTAAGGAATCTTATTATGGGTATTTTCAGTGTAGGATCATTCCATTTTGGTATAGAAGTATTTCATATGTTATTCTGAACTGGTAAATTAATGTTCTGCAATGTTATAAGAAATTAACATGTTCATTATCTGTGTCAAGGGAAAGAAACTTCACATTTCCTTTCTATTTGTTTTAGTACATAATACTTCTCTGAATCAATGGAGAAATGGATATTCTCCTACATGCAAGCCTCAGATAAGGTCAGAATCTTCTGTACAGCTGTTCCAGGGAAGAAAGAAAAGACACTTGAGTGAAACAGCATTAGGTAGGTTAAAATGAGGATGTGAGCACTAGTACTAAAAACTGAAAGTAAATTCTGATCTTCAAAGAACCTCTGCTCCATGGTAATCCAGAATAATCACTAATTACACAAAATATCCATGGTCCTATAAACATTACAGCATATTCATATAGACAATTCAGAATGATCTGTGGACTGGGCATCCATCCACTAATGGCGATTAAGGCTTTCCTTCCTATTTTCCCTGTCCAGAGTAATCTTCTACTGACTATCCTCCGAAACAGAACTTAAGCCTCCAGGGTTGTGTTCTGGACTCCGAGTATGTCAGTACAAAGTCTCCTCACAGAAATGTATTACCATTTCGGGGACTTACTGTGGGGGTGTCAATTCACTGAAGTTTCCTTAGAATTTTGAGAAACTGACTGAGATTCACCAAAGGTAACTCAACCAAGTAGTTCAATTTCTTTTAGGAACTTCTAGTTCCAAAATGGTCAACAGATCTCTTTGAAACTAGAACTCTTCTAATAATACAAAGTGGGATTTTTGTTGTGGGGATTTGGGACTATCAGATTGTTTCCAGAATTGTTGCAAATAATGATTAAAAAATAAAACTTACCAGGAAATATATATGCAAATTATCTATATACTTTTTTGGTTCTTGTTCATTGTTCCAGTGGACAGAACACTATACTCATTAGTCAAGTATTCCCCAGATGTAATATGTCAATATACCCAAAAACTTAGAAATTGCATTCAAGATGTGCTGGACTAATTATACTTGATGAATTTAACACATTTATCACTACTGTCTCTAGAAATCCCACCTTAACAGCCCAAGTCACTACCTGATAAGGTAGTGTGGCACAAAATTAAACTCCTGGGCCACATCCAGAGATTCCATTGTGCTTTTTAGTGCCTCAATCTTAGGACCACCAAGAGTCACCTAGCTTCTGAGGAACTTACATATAGAGATCTTTCTCTTTCAACTTACAACAGGGTTGTATCCTGATAAACCCATGGTAAGTTGAAAATATCTTGAGTCAGTAATTATTTAATACACCTAACTTACCAAACACCATACCTTAGCCTTCAATGTGCTAAAAACACATTAGCCTACAGTTCAGCAAAATCCTCTAACACAAAGTGTTGAATATCTCTTGTAACTTATTGCATACTATAATGAAAGTGAGAAACAGACTGGCTGTATGGGTACAGAATGGTTTTAAGTATATCCATTGTTTATCTTCATGATCACATGGTTGACTAGGAGTTGCAGTTTGTTGCCCAGCCTAAGGGTGTCCTACCACACTGCTATCCCAGAAAAAGGTCAAAATCCAAGGTACGGTTTCTACTGAATGCATGCCACTTTGGGGCTGTCATAAAGTTGAAAAATCCTAAGTAGAACCATTGCTAAGTTGAGGACTATCTACCTACCAACACACAGGAAAACTTGCATCTCTTAATAAGAACCACTATGAAGTTCAGATTACCTAAGATCTAAAATGTTTCACCTGAATTGATCTAACTTCATAACTTCAAGTTTGGTGGGAATACAGGAATAGAACAGGTAAGAGCCAGACTACAAAGTAAATAGGTAACTCCCGAAAGAGCAAGGTAGCTGGTCTCTTTAACAAGTATCATGAAAAACAAACTCTTCTAGATTGTAAGAAACTTAAAAGACAGTAACTAATTTCAATATATGGATCCTGATTTGAAGAAACTACTAACCATAAAGGACATTTTTTAACAACTAGAAAAATATAAGTATGGACTGGGTATTAAATTTTATATTACACAGAATACTTTTTAAGATCAGTACTAAAGTAAAATAAACAAGGGCAGAAAATAAGTGAATAAATATATATTCACAATTAGGGAATCAAAACAAATGGAAAAATATTTTCCTATGTAATTAGAAATTAATAATTTAATGTATTAGCAGACAAAGTCTCAGTAGAATGGTCAGAAGATCAAGTTAAGGAAAGGAAATCTCCCAGAAATTAAAAAGTCAAAATGAGAAACACAGAGAAAATTAAGGGGGTAAGTCTTTGGATGTTAACATCCAAATAATAGGCATTACAGAAAACATGAACAGAGTGAAGAGAAGGGAGATTAAAGAAATTAGAGGTACTGGATTAAAAGAAAATGGAAATAATTGTGACAGAACTGTGGGTAAGATTTTTTTCATTTCCTTAATTTTTTGTTTTTGATACAGAAGTTTTAAAAATAAAAAGATCAAACAGATAAGGAATGTTACCTAATTAGGAAAGTAATTTTAAGACCTATCACCATGTTTAATGTATGACATTCTCAATGGTTCTTTCCATGGCAGGAGAAAGAACTAGATTTGAAGAATTTCCTTTTCAACGCACAGAACCAGGATCCCATAGCAATTTTACTGCTGTTACTAATGTCAATGTTATATCAAGAACCCAGAATTCATCATCACAAGTAGGTTTTTTGGTATACTGAACCCTAAAATTGCTTGTAGATTTTTAAAACTGGCCAGTAAAAAAACGTATAGAATATTTTGTTAATCTTTAATAGCCTTATTTTACTTGTACATACCGGCCCGGTTTTTGTTTTTGAAAGAAAGGGAGAGAGCGAGCGAGCAAGGTGGGGAGGGGCAAAAGAGGGGAGGACTGAGGATCCGAAGTGGGCTCTGTGCTGACAGCAGGGAACCTGATGCGGGGCTCGTAACTCATGAATCATGACATCATGACCTGAGCTGAATTCAGATGCCTAACTGACTGAGCCACCCTGGCGCCCCTAAAATGATCCTCTTAGGAAGCAATAAACTGTATTTAACTTTTTTACTAGTGAGCTAATTGCTCAGTAATCCTTGATTATAGTTTTTTGGTTTTTCCTGTGAGAAACTATCATAACCATCCCTACTCCTTACCAGGAAGCTAAATTTAGTCTTGCTAATAAGAATCCAGCACTTGTGTTGTTCTTACTGTTTTGTCATCTGGTCAGAGTAGGGGTTAAAAGGTGAAAGGGTTTAGAAGAAACTGTAAAGCTCAGGGACCAGGAACACACAAATGAAGATTATAAAAAATGATCTTTACTAAATGGTACACCAAATATTTCATATTCTTTCCTAATAAGTGTGCTTGTTAAATGATCATTTCCTTGACATTTGGGTGCTTTATGGTAACCTCTGGTAAGAGTTTGACATTTTAAGGTATTCCTATTTTTTATGGTCTTAAAAATAGGCTTGTATGTGTACACAAATGTACACTTCACACCTGCCAAAGGGATTGTGTTGTTTTACAAAGGAGAGGTGTGCTTGTTTTTAACATTTTATAGTCCACTCTATCACAACGTATATATAAAACATGTATGCAGTACACCTCTTCTAGCCCTCATGAAAGGAGGGCATCATCACAGGTAACGAGATACTGTTGTTGAGTTGCTGTCCTCCTACCTTGCAGAATACTGCACGACGGAGATTGAGAAGCGAGAGCTCTTATGACATAGATAATATCGTGATTCCCATGTCATTAGTTGCCCCAGCTAAGTTGGAGAAACTCCAATATAAGGAAATACTTACTCCAAGGTATGTATACTTACATCTTTTTATTTTCTCTTCCTTCTTGAGTAAACTTAAATTTTCAAAGTGAAGTTAAAATTTTAATTAATGAAAGGAAGATGTTCCTCTCTCCTGTCTTCTACTTAGAGAACCATGGAGAACGGTGAAAGAAACCTTTACATTACTCATGCTGAAAAAAAGTGCCATATATTATCACCCTGCCTCTCAGTTTTTATTAAGAATTGGGAATTCCTAAGACTTAACTTACTCTAACGCTCTTAAGTCTTTTTTTCAATGTTTAGTTACCTTTTATGTATATATGGCACTAAAGGCTATTTAGGGATGTAAATAAGCTGAGTAATAAATAACCCTTGCTCTTTAACATGCAGTTCTGTAAATGACTGCAAAAAGGGTTCAAAGAAAGCAACTACCTTTGCAAGGGGTATTCACTGCAAGACAATAACACCTATGACCACAAAAATAAGATTCTGATGTATTGCCAAGTCAGCAATACACACATGATATTAGTGGGGCATCACGAAGGAGGGAAAAAGAAAGTTTATTCACACAGGGAAACCACAACAAAGGCACACAGGTAAGTGTGCAAGCCTAAGCTAGAGACCAAGTTTTTGTATAGGGTGATGAAGTTATGGCTACAAAAGAAATTAAAACCGGATTATGGAGGTCCCTGAATGCCATACACAGGTCTGCTTCCTAGTGGCAGTGAAGTTAGTCAAAGTCTTGCTTTGTTTTGTTTTTTAGCAATGATGAAAGCAGTTTCTTCAGAATGTGAATCTGGCACCAGAAAGTAGACAGAAGAGGGTGGAAACAGACATAAGCTCAGTGACAACTACAGTAATTCCTACCCCTCTCTATATTAGCTGATTTCGAATTCTCTTATTCCTAATTGCTTTGAGGTATTAAGAACTCTTAATATTCTAGGAGGTATTATGAGAAATCCCACAGAGAACTTGTTGAGACATTCTGCAGAAGCAGAGTACCATTTGTAGTTATGATGTTCTGCAGCAACGATGTTTTTTCAATTGACATTGGTAGGCTGCAGCTGGCTGGCTGGGTTAGTTGCTTAAATAGAGGAATTCTGTGATCCAGTGGTTAAACTCAAGAGGCCATGCCGGGTGTCTTCACACAAAGAAATTGCCAAATGCTCAAGTGAGGGATTTTTTGTGTTTGTTTTTTCTTCCTGCCACTGTATCACCATCTATTGACTTAATTCAAAATTAGTATATTCTTAGGTATAAAATGCAGCTACACAGAAGAGACAGTTATTCACTGTAAGGCCAAAAGTCTCATCTTCTTTTCATAATACAAATTTTTCTCTTTAAAAAAATAAAGTATGAAAATACAACCATTTGAATTGTGCAAGTCCCAAGGAAAGAAAACACTACTGCATTAGCTGTGCTTAGAGAATACAATTGCTACACTTAGATTAACATAAGCTGAAACTGGTTTGTATCTTCAACAGCTGGAGAATGGCTGTTCTTCAGCCTCTGGATGAATATAACGTAGGTGAAGAGGTAAGTTGCCTTTCAGTTACAGATAACTGCACTGTATACATTACGAAGCCTGCTTAATCTGGGACTTGAGGAACTCAAGGGAAATATAAGCCCTTTAGCATACATTGATTTGTTTTTCACTTAAGAAAAGAAAGTTCATTAAGGATATTAACTTCATTAGGAAAATGTTTTTGTGCAAATTTAGATTTGCAAAGACAGTAACATATAAAAACATGTCAGTTGCTTACATGAACTGTTGAAACACTGAATTTATGTTAATATCTATATTCATTTCCAGCTATTAGTCCTGTTTTTCTGTTTAAGGAGATGTGGTCTTAATATTCAACCCTACAATGCCATATTCAAAACCTTGGGAACAGGTTGCTTTTGAATTTGGAAAACTTTGGACTTAAGAAAGAAGACATATGTGGAGTCTAGCATAGTTCTCATAATCAAATATTAATGTTTCTGTAGGGAAATATTTATAGAAATTGGAATAACCTCATCATTCCAGAACAGGCTATGTCACCAAATGAATTATGAACACGTGTTTTTTCAGATGTTTAGAACTGAAGGAAAGGGACTGTGAGCCTGTATGGGTAAAACTTCTATTCAGACAAGCATAATTTCAGGGAAAAATGTGTAACCAAATCAATTTGAAAGTGATGATCTGTAGAAGCTGTATTATGTAAGACATTTTGTCTCTGTCATAATCTTTCTAGGCCCACTGACTGTTCTTCAGCTACCAAATCAACTTTTCAATGCACTCTTCCCTAGTTCAGAATGATTCTGGCCAGGAAACCCAAATTCTTAAACCACTACCACCAGAGTCTTAGAACCTCTGATAACTCATTAAATTAATTTTCTTTTTTTTCAGTTTTACTTTTCTTTGATATTAACATGTTAAGAGAACAGTGTATTCCATAAAGGGCAATCAAATACAAACCTTTGAATGAATTAAGCATTAAGAATTTTTTATACAAAGCACTGTGAACCTATCTGTAATCTAGGTTAAGTCTTCCAGTATGACCCAGAAGTAAAAAGGTTAAAAAAAAAAAAGTTCACTCCCTCTATTTTCGAATTTGAAGTTCAATTTTAGAGTTTTCTTCCTATATTCTCTTGATGAGAAATTGTTCTATTTCAAAATGTTTCTGATAAAAGAAAAACTTTCTTTCTAATTCCAGGTAGAAGATCTTTCTGATGAAGTCTTCTCCCTAAGACACAAAAAATATGAAGAGAGAGAGCAAGCCAGATGGTCACTATGGGAACAAAGCAAGTGGCACAGAAGAAACAGCAGGCAGGTGTTATCAATTTAAAAGCCAAAACCATGAAATCCATGTAGAATTAACAAAATTCTGCATGAATATTGAGGAAGACCACTAGAAAGGAAAAAGTATTTACTGTATAACATCAGTTATTTGTGCACAGGAGGGAAACATTGCATTTACATTCAAAATATATTTTGGCTGGGGCTCCTGGATGGCTCAGTCAGTTAAGCGTCCAGCTCTTTTAATTTTGGCTCAAGTCATGATCTCACAGGTTTGTGAGATTGAGCTCCGTGTTGGGCTCCACACTGATAGCGCAAAGCCTCCTTGGGATTCTGTCTCCCTCCCCCACTCGTGCTGTCTGTCAAAATAAATATATATATACATTTTGGCTAATTACAGAGTAATGAAATGAGTTTCTGTATTTTCCTCCACTCTTATTTCTCATGCTTACTGTCAGCCTGAGGAACAGATTTAACTCAGCAAATAATGTGAAAATTCTCCCTAAAGTAGATCATCTCATTGTACTGTAATAGCAGACCTTACACTAGGGATTAGAATCTTGGTGATCGATTTTAACATACCCACTTAAAAAATACATTATTTTTTTTTTTAAAAATGTTCTCAAAAAACCAGTCTAAGAAGCAGATGGTCTAGGGCACCTGGGTGGCTCAATCGGTTAAGTGACTGACTGCAGCTCAGGTCATGATCTCAAGGTTCATGGGTTCCAGCCCTGCGTCGGGCTCTGTGCTGACAGCTCAGAGCCTGGAGCCTGCTTTGGATTCCATGTCTCCCTTTCTCTCTGCCCTTCCCCTGCTCGTATTCTGCCTCTCTCTCTCAAAATAAGTAAACATTTAAAAAATTAAAAGACAAAAAGCACCTGGTCTAAAATACTTTGAATATGACTTCTGGGGAGGGAGGATTAAATCCTGAGAACGTAATTAGTAATTATATATTTGAGAAAGCCCATGGTATTTTATATTTACATTTCACTGTGTTTTAATATAGCCGAAACTCAGGAAGATCATGAAGTCTGGGTAGTCACTAAATTTAGTGTGGGGGCACCTCTCATTTACTTAGTACAGTTGACCCTCAAACACAGGTTTGAACTATGTGGGCCCACTTACACACAGATTTTTAATAGTACAGTACTATAAATGTATTTTCTCTTCCTTACGATTTTAACAAATTTCATTTTTCTAGCTTACTTTACTGTAAGAATACAGTATATAATACATATACAAAATGTGTGAATTGACTGGTTTATATTACTGGTAAGGTTTCCTGGTCAACAGTCAGCTATTAATAGTTAAGTTTTGAGGGAGTCAAAAGTTATATGTGAATTTTTGAATGCACAAAGTGGTTGGTGCTCCCAACTCCTGTGTTCATCAAGGGTCACCTGTACTTTTATTTAAGTAATCGCTACACCCAATGTGGGGCTCGAACTCACAACCCCGAGATCAAGAGTTAACATGCTCTACTAAGCCAGCCAGGCGCCCCTCAACTGTATTTTGAAAACACATTTCTCTCTTTAGGTCTGAAAATATCCCGATTTCTTGTAGATTCTTATTCCAAGAGTTATCTTAACACACATATAAGACTCAATTGTCTTCTTTCTCCACATTCCAGAGATATAATTTTCTAGAAGTACAGAGGAAAATGTGAATCGAGTCTTACATGGATGACATTATAATAGTCTTAGAATACTCTGGGAACTCTGAAAGACTGTAAGGGTCAAGTAACTGTCCTTTCTTATTTAAAAATAAAACAACAAAAACTCCCTCCTTGAAAACCTGAAACCCACTATTATAATTTGGCAGTTTCATAAAATAGTATTCATAACATACTGTTTAAGTCTTTGAGAAAGCATCAGGAAGATTGACAGATGAATTTTTAGAAATCTTTTGGGCAGAACTGTTTAAAGAAAAGCTACCAAGTTAAATGGACTTAGGGGTCGTTCATAAAACGTTAAGACCTCAAGAAATAGTAATTAAATATTTTCTTGATTTTCTTGCTAGAGCTTACAGTAGAAACGTTGAAGGACAGGACTTGCTCTTGAAAGAATACCCTAACGACCTTGGTGGTGTTCAGCACTGTGCTGCCGAGAGTCCTGCTGAGCCTTCTCCGCAGAGCCAGGATCTGGGCACACGGGGCTCACCTTCCTTAAATCAAAGTCAAGAACTCAAGGTAAGTATGATATACATGACCTGTGACACCTCTTTTTCAATGCCTTTTACCCTTCTGAAAACCTGTTTGTAGAAACCTGCTGGTTGCCAATTAATGAATTCAGCATAACAATCCAGCGTTAACTGCTGGGTACAAATTTTCTAGTTCTGTCACTAATCATACACACCTTATCTTTTCGTAGAACAGGTCAGTATCTAACTCCACCTACTCACTTATCTGTTAGGAAATGGGGATTCTATCCAAGTTTCATGACGACACAAATCTGATTAGAGAGAACAGCACCTGGCACACAGCAAATGTCAGCTAGTTCTCTTCCCTTCATAACAGATTTTTACCTGTCTCCCCGTGGATCCAGTTCTTACCTCACAGGGAATGATTTCTAACACACCATCTATAAATTTTTGCACTGTTCTTCATAAGTAGGTGTTGAAAAAGAAGAACTGTATCTAGAACACAGAGCAGAAACTATAAAAATTAATAGGCAAGTCGTAGAAAGCTCGGGGAAGGAAAAGTCAATAGGTGTCTGTGATAGTTATGGGATGGAAATGGAGACACTCAAGTAGATCAAACACCTTTAAAGGGGCTTTTCCCAAAGCGCTCCTGTGCTGATAAGGAAGACCCGTGCCTTATAGCGGTGTTTCCTCTTTGTGGAAGGGTGAAGTGGAAAGATAGTTCCCAAAGGTCTCTAAACAATTGCCAGAATGTTCCATTGGAGTTGCTAGATCTTTAGGCCCAAATGAAAATGTGTACATTGACGTGCTAAAGAACCAAACGATAATTACACAGTTGACATTTAAGGATTATTGGATACATGAACTTTAAACCAACTAGTTGAAACTTAACTGAAAAGGTTTTCTCTTTCTTTCAGTCTTTGTGGTGGGAACGACGGACTTTTCCACTGAAGGATGAAGACACAGAAGCCTTACTATGTCAAGATGAAAAAAAGGATCATAGTGAAAGTTCAAGCCCCGTTTTCCGTGGAGAAGTCTTCTGTACTAGTGCACCAGAAAACGGTCACCATCCAAAAAGGCAGACAGATGAAATGGAAGAATGCAAACCTTTTGGTCTAGGACTTACTCATGTTAAAAAAAACAGGTGACAGGGAAAGGTTAAAAAAAGTATGTAACTGAATGGAAAGCAGGAGGAAAAAAAAAGCCCTGTTCTCCATCCCCCACCCCCTCAGCCACAATTCCAGAATAAGAGCATGTACTGCATGTATTAATCTTTTATGCTGTTTTAAAACAGGCAAGGTAGGTCTCTTTTTCCTTGAACCACAGGAATAACTAGCTTTTCACCTACAGACAAGTGCTAGTCGTTTGTGTTTATGATGCAAATCACAAGCACCAGAAAATTAACTGCTGCAAGCTGATGTTAAATCGTATTACTGGGTAAATAATTTTTAAAAGACTTCATACCCACACATACATATGTACACACACAGAAACACCTGTGCATCAATGATCGCTCTTTTTCCTATACATTTCTATGTAATTTCTATGGTAATTCATTAAAATTGCCTCAAATATATGCCTTTGTATATGGGGATATACAAATATGTGTGTATAGAGTATATACACATACATGTACACACACGTAGTTTTAAAAAACACTGGCAGTGACCACTCCACTTGAAATGCATGGATGAATTATCCCATGGAATGTAAGCTGCACTATAAAGCACAGGTTCCCAGTGACTATGGAGATTTTAAACATGTTTAACCAATAGAAGTTATATATGGAAATTTCTATACCAGATAACACAATATGCCTTTATTTGAAATCACTGTTATCTGTTGGACTAAATTCAGATCATCTTCTATTCACTCCTAACAGATTAAGACAAGCAAAGCAGAGTTAAATATTGGTCTAATTTTAAAACTTGAGTTTTATCTATCCTATGTATCTCATAAAGAGAAGACCCCAAGTGAAAATGAGCAACAAATAGGAAAGTAAAAAATGTTGTATTTCTAGTTAATTTGGTCATTCCTTACCATTAGCTTACTCTACCCAAACAAGCATCTATTCTCATGTGTATGCTAGAGTGAGAAATTTTTTTAAAGGATAGTGCTTCAGTACTGAATACAGGAGTATACATTAAAGAAACCTCTTGAAGCTATTACATAATTTTTTCTATATAAAAGTTGAGGACAATTTATGAATCGCTTTCTCTCATGTAAAAAAAAAAAGGTTATTCAAGTTATAGTCCCCATATAACTGACAATCCTGGCCACCTGGCCTAGTCTGGGGGACTGACACCAAGTTTTTGTTAGGGATGGGGAATTCTACTAGTCCCTTTAAAGAAGGAAAAAAATTCAAATTCAAAACTGACAAATTTTTGCTTGTAGTTTTACTGTACATTTATTTTTAAAAAAGAAAACAAAAGCCAGACAAACCCAAGTTGTCTAGGCAAATAAGCTCAAATCTTTTTGTCATGTCTGACATTATAATCTTCTATGTAAGTTTTTTAATTAAAGTTATTTCTATATGCCTCGTGTTGTCTGATTTGATTAAACGGCACCTGTTCATGGCACAAACCTTTCCTAAGTCAAAAACAAATTTTTACACTGTAGTATAGGAAAAAAACAAGCAAGCTCTATTCTATGCAGAAGTGTTAATGTTCTTATTTTTCAAACTTTTTATTTCTCAAAACTCATAGTAGCCTAAAGTTTAGGTCCTGTTATTTCTTGCCATATATCAAGACTATTTGCAAGTGGCAGATACATATTTGTTGTCAAAGTATAATTTGGGACACAACTTTAAATATTTATGGATTAACTCTACCTTATCATCTTTTAGCCTACCTGGTCTTTGTTGGATTAATATAATATATATCCTTGGGGTCAAAATCCATAACGTCCAGAATATCCTCAGCCATCTGGTTCTGCTACCGAGTAAAATTAGACAAGGTTAAATAAACGAGGCTACCTTTGCCTAATCTACCTCCCAAGGGCTCCATTTGTGAAAAGAGTAAAACCAGAAATCCTCTGCCCTACTGGATTCTTTCCATGGTACCAGCCTGTTCCTGAGCTTTTCTCTCTTCCTTTTTTAAATGGGGACAAAAATACCTGTCCCATCACTCAGAAGAGTGATTTGTGGTTTTAATGAAATTATATCAAAATACTTTATAGGCTATAAAACATAAACTTCTGTAATGATAGCTACTTTGTATTGAGCATCCTCAATTCTACTATCCTACAATTCTGGGACTAGTAGTGGAAGCTTTACGTATACATAGTATCTCTTAGTGCTCAACACAACACCGCATGGTAACTGTAATTACGTTCAGTGTATAAATCAGTTAACAGATACTCAAAGAGGCTGGTTGATCTGATTTGCTAAGTCAAACCGCTGGAAAGGAGAACCAGATTCAACTCAATATCACTTCCAAGCAGAGGCTTTCCTTTCCTTTCTGCTTGGAGCTAGCACATTATTTCATGTCCTTAAGAATGGTGGGGAGGATTAAGAAAAGGTGGGGATCACTGTGTAACCTGCCCTTCCAGCAAAGCTAACAAAGGAAAAACGCCCTGATAAAATCTATATTTGTATAAATTTTGTAAAATCTATACTTGCATTTTAGACCACCTGAAATCCCTGGGCTTCATACACTGTGCAGTTTTTATGTATCAAATATAAGGTACAAAATAAAAAAACAGATGTTTAAGAAGCAAATTACTTCCATTCTACTCATATTATCTCTCATACACACACACAAATCAAAAATGACATGAAACAGGAAAAACATAAGGACTTCCTTTGCTTTGGAAAAACAACCAAGAAACGAGAAGATTTAAAATGCAGAAAAAAATATTTTTCATAGTAGCTAGTATGCCTTCAGTAGGCATTAAGACACATTTCTGTTTATAACCCTATTAATACAGCCATATTTTTACTCTTATAAAAATCAAGTCTCCCAGTAAAAATGGTATTTTACCACACTAATCTTTAAATTCCATCACTAAAAATGGAGACATACACACCAATTTCTAACCTCTTGGAACATTCTGCAGGATAGATTTTAGTCACTGGAATGAACAGCTGCTCAGAGAAACAGCCCTGCTTCAACTGTGGTATGTTTTGGTAGTCGATATTCTTGTTTTCCAGGAGAAAGATTTCATGAGCGTAAAAACTGGACTCCTCACGGTTTCATCGATCAAGAGAACGTTTCTGAGCAGCTTCTGAGCAAACATTTCTTAACAGGTTGATCACAGATCTGGGGTCATCACTCCTCATAATGGCACTGCCAGACACAATCATGTTAGCTCCTGCCTGGAAGAAGTAAACACTCAGGTTATCCTTCAAAGGAAGACGCAGAGAAGCTTAAAACAATTTCTGGACTAGAGTTTCTACCCTTGCATTCGTCAGTGCTTTAAATGCACGAAAGCTACCTTGAGATGAACAGACTTCAAACAGTCTAGTTCCATGAACAAATAAAATGCTTAACAAATGAAAACATAAAATGATTTTTAAATGTATTTAAGAAATCACTGGCTTTTTAATAACCACCTTTAAATAAACGACACTGAATCTTTGCTAATATTTAAAAAAAGATGTAAAAATCTTTTAATCCTCAACTTTATTAAAGTTTTTCCAAAATATGCCAGTGCCCCTAAGGCTACTAAAAAACAAATTATCTTTTAATCTTTGGACTCTGTAGTTGACCCTTGAACAATGCAGGGGTTACGGGTACCAACCCCATGTGCAGTCAAAAATCTGTGAGTAACTTTTTGACTCGCTCAAAATTTAACTACTAAAACCCTTCTACTGACTGGAAGCCTTACCAATAACATAAACAGTTGATTCACACATATTTGGTACATGTATTACATACTGTATTCTTACAATAAAGTTAGAGAAGAGTGTTAAGAAAAGCAGAAGGAATTGGGGTTCCTGGGTGGCTCAGTCGGGTAAGGATCCGACTTCAGCTCCGATCAGGATCTCACAGTTTGTGAGTTTGAGCCCCATGTCGGACTCTGTGCTGACAGCTCAGAGCCTGGAGCCCACTTCAGATTCTGTGTCTCCCCCTCTCTCTGCCCCTACCCCGCTCACACTCTGTCTCTTTCTCAAAAATAAACATAAAGAAAAAAAAAAGACAAGAAAAGCATAAGGAAAATACAATTACATTACTATAACAACAACAACAACAAGATCCACATAAAAATGGACCCAGGTAGTTTAAACCCACGTTGTTCAAGGGTCAACTGTGAAGGAATTGATAGACCATTATTGCTAAAGTGTGAAACTATAAAATACAGCAACATTAAATAATTTCTCCTTCTGACGTCAGAAAGAATGAAGCACTTTTTCATGTATTACTTCACTGCATTCCAGAAAGGCTTTGAAGGGCTTAAAAAAGATATTCAATATACTTTTAAATGTGGAAACAAAGAAATCAAAGAGAAAAAGCAAGTAAGGGAAGTCCAAATTTAGCTCTGCACTCCCAGGATCTGACTTGAGGGAAACCCAGTCTGTCACGTGATCCACTTCCGGCACAAAGTGGCAGGAGGCTACTGGGAGAGGCAGCAGAAGGGAGGAAAATTCCTCCCGGGAGACACCGTCACTCTGTGATACAGTGTACATCTCCAAAAACATTCCTTCCAAAAATGTAAAAAAAAAATGAGTTTTGTAGGGTTACAGCCTAACATGGTTTTAATGTAAGCAGGAAAAACGCCCAAAGGCACAGCACAGTTCAGTAACGAGAAATCCACAAGTAGTCAAGGGACATACGTTCACTAATCACCCGGTCAGCTCCTCTTCCAGAAGTATCTCACGGCCACGGCTTTTGACAAGTATCAAGCAGAAAAGTGTGGCATTTATACAAAAAACTTAAAGTGCAGATTAGACCATGTTGCTTAAATAAAAACAGGCCACATAAACGTCAATGACTTGCAGTGTTACAGGAAGGGCTGGCACCCTCTTGGGAAGCTCAGGGCTTCATTAACTCAGCTCAGCTGGCTACTTGGGAAGACTCCTCCCCCCTCACGTAGAGGAGGAGCACAGCTATCCAGAAATCAGAGCAAAATTTACATCAGAAACGGCTCCAGTCAGTTTTTACAAGGGACAAACCAGTAACTAATACACCTAAGCTATACAAAATCACAATCTTTTCACTTTATAAGCAGGTAGAGATTTTCTTTCCCTATTTTGGAAAAATGTCTTACTCCAAGGCCTAGAACTTAATGATCTCCCAAAGGCTGGCATTCAGCATATTCTTTTTTAAAAAATAACTTCCTTCAGCATTAATGAGATAACTGGGACTTACTTTTTAATGATTATGTGATTTCAGAATATTCACTTATTGCTCTTTATTCTCAATGTTCTACATTTGAACAAAAAAAATACCTTTCCCAGAAAGAGAGGCAATTTAGGAAACACAGGAAATCTGTTTGGCGCACAAGACAATGTTCTAGACATTACATTTGATAGGAAACTGGTCTGTGACCAGTTCAGCTGTGACCTGAAGAGCAATCTCACCTCTGCACATTTATGGATAGTGTCAGGACCTACTCCACCATCGACCTCTATGTCCAAGGACGGGAACTGGGTCCTCAACCAATGAACCTAGATATACACGAAGAAATAAGTAATTCCTAAGGTGGATATTTCCTAAGGGGAAAAACAACCAAATAAAAAATCAAATAGCCAAATACTAGCCACTAAAACAGGATTCCAAGTGTCTCACACAGTAACTTTATTTTTCTTTCTTTATTTTAAGTAGTCTTTATATCCAACATGGGGCTCGAACTCACAACTCAGAGACCACGAGTTGCATGCTCTTCCAACTGAGACGGCCAGGTGCCCACCACACAGTTAACTTTCTACTAATACAAATTATGATCAGGGATACCTTCCTTTTTAATATACTGAAACAAATCCAGCTTCATAAAAGCAAGGCTTATTCTTCTGGGGGAATGGCACTGAACTTGTCATGGCTTTGCAGAGAATATACTTCATGCAAACAAGACAAAGAAAAAACCCTCAATGTTCAATGAAAAGAGATCTCCCAAGAGATCGAAAGGCTACAGGGATAATGCCTTTGACAGAAAATTTCAAGATTAAGATGTGATATTTTTCCTGATTTCCACGCTAAATCTCATACAGCATTTATCACACCGTACTCCAGGGATCTGCAGGCATCCCCCTCCCCCCCCATCTTCAGAACAGGACATGGCTAAATACACAAGTGGCTCAATACAGGCTTACCGAATGTGCACACACTATAAAAGCCTCACCCCAAAACCAAATATTTCTTTACCTTTGGCATCATATCTTCCATGAATTTCTGCCCTCCAAACCCAGGTTCCACTGTCATAACCAAGGCCATATCTATCTGATTCGCCCATGGTGCCAAATACTCAACTGTAGTTCCTGGTTTGATGGCAAGGCCAACCTATAACAGAGACAAATTTGCTACATCACATTAATAATTATTTCCACATTATATTAATATGGCATGTCAGACCCAGTAGAAATATCTATTGTTTAAAAATTCATTTTTAATATTTATTTATTTTAGAGAGAGACAGAGCGCTAGCAGGGGAGAGGCAGAGAGAGGCAGACATAGAATCCAAAGCAGGCTCCAGGCTCTGAGCTGTCAGCACAGAGCCCGACATGGGGCCTGAACCCCCGAACCGTGAGCACATGACCCAAGGCGAAGTCAGATGCGTGACCGACTGAGCCACCCAGGCGCCCCTACAAATATCTATTCTTAAAGAGTAGAATATACACAGAAATGGAATGCATAAGTTATTCAAACTATTTTTTAAAAGAGTCAACAAGGCTACCCAAATGTAAATCTTCCTAAAAGGCAGTACTTTTCAGAAAACATTAGGGGAACATAGAAATCCTGTCTAACAGACAACTTATACTTCAACTCTGATTCCTCAGCTAAAAAACAACTGCTCAAGTCTGGTCTTCTCTGCCTATCACTTCCTGTCTTCTAATGAAACGTCCACACCAAGAGTGAAGAGTATTAAAACGTTATGGTCACTGTTGGCCCCTCACCTTCATCCCATTCTCCCGAATGTCTTTTATCAAAGCCCCAGGGTTCTCAGTAGCCTCAAGATGAAAGGTATATTGATTGGCTCCTGCTACAGCCATTGGTTTTACCCACTGTTCCGGCCTGGACACCATCATGTGCATATCTAGAAAGAAAAGACACATCTCCTGAATACTACTGAAAGGAAGATACCTGCCCCATATTGGTGAGGCCAGCCTGCAGTTTTGGCTGTTTGGATATAAACTACTTGGCATTAAAAGAATTCTTAAATAATGACACTGCTGTATTGCTAGCCTCCTTTTAACTTGAAGATACAGTTTTAGTTAAACTCATTTCTCAAAAAACCAGTTTTCCACAAAAGGCATATGATGGTATATATGAAAAGGACTAGAATTCAGGAAACCTAGGTCCAGGAAATGCTAGTCTAAAAAAAAACTCTCAACAGTCCTATTATCTATGCAGATTTCATTTCTCATTTATAAGAAAGCTAAATAAAGTGATTCTACAATATCTTATGGAGCACTTACTGCATCATTAAGTATTCTAGGCCCCAGGGACAGAGCATAAAAAACAGACAAAAATCTCCGCTGTTATGGGGATTACATTCTTAGTGGGGGGGTGGGGACAGACCATAACGAAACTACGTTAATACAATACACACTGGGTTGGTAGCTTGGCCAGCGTGGCTGGGCAGGAGGATCACAGGGGCACGGGATGAGGGGCCACAGCCTGGAGCTCTGCAGACCACTGGGTTTTATTCTGAACGAGATGGGGGGGGGGGGAGCACTGTGGGATTCTGAGCGGAGAGGTGACAAGATCTAAGCTGGAAAGCCACAGTAGTCACCCAGGAAGAAATGACGTTGGCAGTGATTGAAACTGGCAAGCAGCGGCAGGATTCTGGGTCTGCTCTGCAGCTACGGCAGTGGGAGCTGCTGCAGGCCAATGTGCAGGGGGAGGGGAGCCTGAAAACTGCACCACGGGGGACGGGTCTCGAGGGAAGGACATGGTAACTGCAGGTCTGACACACATCCTAACTGTAAAGCTCAAATCACAGGGATCCGTTAGGGAGAGTGGGGGTGGCCTTCTTAAGGTTCTTGACTTGAAACATTAGACCATTTAACAAGAAGAGGGCGGCTTAAAAGTGGTTAAGTCAAGAAATATTGCTGTCAAGAAGGAAACAGTAAATACTCCTAGGTCAGACAGATATGCTAAGAAGAGTTTTGAGTTTGTCTGTTTTTTGCTAGAGGAAGCATACCTCTGATACAGCTGAGCTACATTAAAGAAAAAATGTCTAGAATTCTAGACTCAACTAAGACCATAAAATGCAGTAAGGCTTTGAAAAATATCAGGAAAAGGGGATACTGCTTGACAAAGCCGAGATTAAAGTTTGTATTTCTAAACTAACAAGTGACAAAAATAGAACCTATGTTAACAGGTAAAACATTGTTTTTAAAAGACAAACTCTATTTGGTGTTTCTTATTTTCTTTGTGTTATAAGTAAGGAAAAATCAATCTGCTTTAAAATATCTACTCATTCCTTTCGCTAACAGACTGCTATGCCAGTCCACCTCCGGCGTGCGGTCACCGCTGGGAACCCTCAATGGAGAGTGTTCAGGGAGCGACCAGTCCAGTGAGTCATCTGCCTGTAGGTAATACTGAGGTCACAGTTCTTGAACGTTCCAACATCAGCCTCCGCTTACACTGTTAAAAATTACTGAGGACCTCCAAAACGATGTTGATGTGAACTGTATTTAACACTGTCTAAAATGTTTTAGAAATTCAAACTAAGCAATTTTTAAGTGTCTACTGAACTCATTTAAAAAAAAATAATAAATCTATCACATGTTAACTTAAGAGTGACCTTATTTTATACTTTTGCAAGTCATTAATGTCTGGCTGAACAGAAGACCTCCATATTCTCACACGTGCTCTGCATTCAGTCTGCTGCAACATGTTGTTTTATATGAAGAAAAGGGAAAAAAGTACACAGAAAAGGGAGGGGTACATTGATAGCCTTTTCAGACCAGTGTGGATATTCTTCTACTTCTACCCCAGAACTCAGCAAGTAGGACTTTAATAAAGGTTAGCTGCAATGTGGAATCTGTAAACTCTACCCATGAACTTTTTGAGCTTTGTTACACTAACAGCCACTGGCCTGCCCTAGTACACTTTGAATGGATCTCTGTAGTACTGGTTTGCTGCATTACATAGGACTTCCAAAGAGTGACACGTTTTATTATTTGCTATCAGAAATTACACAACACCACAGATTTTTATCACAACAGCTGTAAACAGGAGAAAGCTAATGAGCTCACAGAAGCAGATACAACTTCTTCAAAATTCAAATTTTCATTTGCAAGCTCTAATTTAATCAGTGGAAACAATAATTAATGAGGTATCTTCCTTGAAATGACAGGCTTAGTTAACTTTCAAGAAAATGTCAGTAAAATACTGAAGTCTGATAACCATAGTTCATCTATCAGTTTATCATTCCAGTGAAGATAAGTGTTCGTGAAAAAGGCAGCCAGTTCAGTTCACAACTCAGTGGCGCAAGTGGGTTTTCCTTGAGAAAGCCATCATCACGCGGTATACTGCAGAAGCACTTCATATGTACTTCCTGCTTTGGCACACAAAACATGAAAAGAAATGCACCCAACCATCAGATTTACTGTAGTTAATAATTTGTACTGACCTTCAACGATATGTACCATGAATACATGGTGGTGAAGAATAATTTAACAACAACTTGGATAGTTCAATAGCATTGCTTTGATTCAGGCTAAGGAACCAACAGACAAACTCACCATTGCTTTTGTACCATCCACACAAATAATGACAAATAACGCTGTAATATGAAAATAGTCATCACCTCATGTTCCACCCGCAAGAGATTCCTGGGGTCTTCAGACCACACGTGAAGACCGCAGATTTAGATGAGAGCAAAGAAAACAAAAACAAAACAACACAAAACACCCAAAACCAAAGCACAAAAATAACAGCTTTTTCCCTATCACTTGATTGCTTACTGGTTATTTCCACTCAATACTGAGACTGAACAGTTCAGAACTGTACCAGTTATGCATGCAACTTGTGAAATACTTCTTAGAATGTACACATGAATCATCCAACAACCAAGATCCAAGAATCAAACAAAAAAAACACGTCTTAATATAAAAAGCAAAAGTCACAAAACCCAAACATTAAAGCATTTGGAGTCCATTCATCTTTACTGTAGACCCACTTCTAGACAGACTGATTAGTAGCAAGTTTATTAGCAAAGAAACTAAAAACAGAAAGAAAGAGCAGACTGTGTGTGGTTGTAGCAGTAGGATTGATACGAGAGGCACAAATGTAGGAGACACAAATAGCACTGAGTAGTGATGCGAGGAATCCAAGTAAAAGAAAAAAAAAGAAAAAAAAAACAACTTCTTTTAAATTCATACAAAGCCAGATGCAGAGGACTCTAAGGCCACAGCATGGTGGGGGCAAACTTGGCTACTTATTTCATTCACCTGATATTCATAAGAACAAATTTATTTTAGAAAATTCATTTTCTAAAATGTAATAAAAAAGTCCAGATCATCAGAGGATTACATTCCATTATTTGAAAATTTCAAAATGGTGAACAAGCTGCTGGAACATGGTTTCCCTCATGCCACATAAATTACGTGGTAACGCACCCTTTCTTATGTGCAAAGTAGATGGATCCTATGAAGAAGCTCTGACGGAGAGAACTTCCTACAACGAGGGCAATGTTCCAGAATGGCACTGTACAACAGTCACTAGACTCATGTGGCAACTGAGAGCTTGCAATATGGTTGGTTAATGCCACTGAGAAGCTTCATCTTTCATTTTATTAACCTGAACTAACTTTAAATAGCTACATGTGGGTAGGGACAACCACATGGGACAGCACAACTAGAATCCTTCTCAAAATCGGCCTACAATATGCCAATAAAAAATACCTAAGTTTTACTAAATTCCAAGGTACTTAAGAACATTATTTATAAAAATTTGTTCAACTTCTTACGTACAAGACATTTGTCAGCTTCAAGCCGTTGCTAACTTAGCTTAAAAGAGCAGTAACAACATGTGGACTGAATTCACGTTCACGAGAATTAACAATTACACTAAACCCCAATCTTGTGTTTATGCTTAGCTCTACAAAAACCACAGTAAAACAAAGTGGATTAAATCCCTGCTGTAAAGGACAAAAGTAATCTGACTGAAGGAAGTTTGAAAAAGAAAATACGGAAGGTGGTCTGATAACTGGATAAAGGTTAATTTAGGATGGGGTGCTTAGAAAGGCTTCTCCCTGAGGAAACGCCAGTAATTCAGGGCCAAAAGATAAAGCAGAGCCAGCCAAGTGAACAGTTTTCTAGGCAAAGAGATCAGCTAAAGTGCCAAGGCCCTGAAGCAAGAAAGAGTTTGGCATATCACAAGCAGCCAGTGAAGACCCAGCACAGGGTGGGGGTTGGGGGTTCCAGATGAAATTGGAGGTTGAGAGATCAATCATCTACTTGAGCAACACATCCAGCGTCAGACAGCGTAACACCCACTTACCAAAGAAAGGGTCCTGGCCTAGCTGCTTTCGGAGGCTTTCTACCACAGGGTGCCCAAAGGTGATGTTGGGAACAAAATGCCTATAAGACAAACAAAATCTTACTCTGAAAATGTTTTCAATTCAATTTCTGTATTGTTCTCAAAAGCACTCTGATAGGGGTAAATGGGACCATCTGTGATTGCAGTATTTTTCCATGTAGTATTTAACATCATCAGTGTTAAAAAATACTAAAAATATCTCAGTAATTTCAGTTTTACAAAGCAGTATTTCCCTGATATTTCAACAAAATCAGACAGTGTCACAAGATTTAAGTCCATCGTTTGTAATCCAACAGGTAAAAATGGAAAGACAACCAAATCCAAACTCCAAAAGTTTTATGACTTGCCCAAGTCACACACTAGTTAGGAAGTTCTGGACTCTGACATGGGTCTCTCAAATCCTAGTCTGTCATGGGCGGCCTGTGGCCACTTCTAATCTACTTCATTCAGTGGGCACTAAATCAGTTTAACCACCCATTACTGAGGGTTTCCAGCATGCCAGATGTACCTTACTTCATCTTCTCATCAGCCTTATGAAGTAGATGCTGTTATAGCCCCATCTGAAGAACACAGGAAAAATAACTTCCTTAAGTCACCCTGTTAATAATCTGCGGAGGCAGGATTCAGAGTAAGTCTTCCTGACATCTGACCCCAAAGTACTTCATGCCACTGACCTACTCGCTTGTCCTTCTGTTCTATCACTAGCTCATTTCAATATGTAACAAAACCCCCTCTATGCAAGTACCATGATACGGGAGTTCCTGCTTACCCTAGAAAAGTTTATAATCTCATTGGCGAGAAATGGCTAACACCTAACGGAATCCCTGGCCCTGCTGTTGTATTTGTTGGGGAGAGCCGACTCCCTTGACCTCCAGGTGGCCCGTGCAGCTGGTTCTCCCCAAAGGCCTGTGAATTTCAGTGATGCGTGTCACTGCAGGGCCAGGAGCTTAAGCGGTATTCCTTTTTTGTCCTCACTTCACCTTTTTGCCAATAGAGAAGCCATTAAGGGCTGGCAGAGTCACAGGATGGAAGGAGACTACGTCCCTGAAATTCTTCATGGAAGGATATTCAAGCTGAACTGTTACGTGAATAACTGAACTTTATAACATTAAGTCACTGAACTCGGGCTTTATTGGTTAAAGGTAGTAGATATTACCCTGTATGAGGATAGCAAGAAAAGGTAAAGCCACAAGTGGGCCATATGAGGCAAGTAGTATGGCACTTGAAGGGAAGATCACGAGATTTAGAGAACAAAGAATTTGTAAAGATGGGAAAAGAAATGAAGCAAAGGCAAAAATAAGCAACTTGTGTTTAAAGTGGGGGAGAGGTGGTGCTCTTCAGCTTGGTGAGGGTGAAAAGAACAGGAGGCAGAATATGTCACATCAAGGGTATCAAATGCCTGGCTCAGTGTTTGGATTCTATCCTGCTGTAAATATGAAGTGAGGTTTTAAAGCAAGAAACAAGCAGGCCCATTTGGTAGAGTGTGTCACTCTTGATCTCGAAGTTGTGAGTTCAAGGCCCATAGCAGACATTACTTAAAAAAAAAAAAAAAAAAAAAAAAAAACACAAAGCAATGAGAAAATAAAAAATAAAGTGGAAATAATAAAGTGGGAAGACGGCCTGGGCAAGGAACAATGAGAATGGAAAGGACGACAGACAACGCGTGACAGGACTTGTGAACTCATTAGATGTGAGGAGCTCAAAAGAGAATAAACCATGGTTAAGACCTTAAGCTTAGGTCCGTGAGTTCGAGCCCCGCGTCAGGCTCTGGGCTGATGGCTCGGAGCCTGGAGCCTGTTTCCAATTCTGTGTCTCCCTCTCTCTCTGCCCCTCCCCCGTTCATGCTCTGTCTCTCTCTGTCCCAAAAAAAATAAATAAAAACGTTGAAAAAAAAAAAAATTAAAAAAAAAAAAAAGACCTTAAGCTTAGATGGCAGACCAATGAATGCTAATAAAAAAATTAAAACTTACACAGGCCAGGCACCATTCTAAACACGTTCCATATACTAACTCATTAAAACCTCACAACTCTATGGTGCAGGTGCTCCTATAATCCATATATTACAGACAAGGAAGAGAGGCTCAAGGTCACACAGCCTGTGAAGTGCCACAAGCAGGCATTAAACACCGGCAACTTGGCTCCAAAGTCCAGGCTCTTAACCTATTACGCTCATCTGTCCCTCCACTGATAACGACAAAAAAACAAAGTCCAGGGGAGGTGAGACGAGTCAGGATTCAGGACACATGTGAGAGGGACCAGGTAAGGTGGACAGGTACGGACACCTGCAAACACTCTGGTCCTTGAAGGTAGGGTTTCTAGTATCTAGAAATCATTCTACCGTTTCACTTCAGAGCAATGACTGCCAGGGGCATGGATAAGATGCTCGTTATGTTTACCTGGAACTCAGAGGTGAGGGTCAGATAAGCAGACAGGGAGGCTTACTGGGTATCATACAGCTCTGGAATGAAAATCGGGATTTTGTTCACTGTTCTTTTAATTTGCTGCATGGCCTTAGAGTACTTTTGTTGCTCAACCTTAGGTTGCCTTTATAATTAAACAGACATAATAAACACATACATCTTGAGAAAACAGGAGAACAGAATAAATATACTTTTTACTTCACTGGGAAACAGAAGCATATCATGTAACACTACTGATTCCCCCAGCTGCATGACTAATTGTACTACAGTGCTCTAGGCTCACCACGAACACTAGAAGAACAGAAAGGTACCGATACCCTGACAAGAAACCAAAGGTTTATGGTTAAGCTGAAACAGAAAAAGGCAACAAACCCAAGCATGAAGTGAAGGGGTCCTAAATTTGCCAGGCAACAGTAACCTTGGGACCACGTGTCACAAAAGGACTTACAGGCTCTACGCCAACCCTATGACACTAAAGAAGACCTGGGAAACTGAATTCTCAACAAATGCCCTGGGAGGTCTTTTTTTATGTTTATTTTGAAAGAGAGAGAGACAGAGAGACAGAGAGAGAGCAAGAGTGCATGCACACAGGGGAAGGACAGAGAGAAGGAGAAAGAATCCTAAGCAGGAGGTTCCACGCTGTCAGGGCACAGCCAGACGCGGGGCTCAGTACCACAAACCAAGAGATCATGACCTGAGTGAAAACCAACATTCAGATGCTTAACTGACTGAGCCACCCAGGCACGCCAATGCCTTGGGAGTTCTTATCAGACCAGCTTGGAAAATACATTATTTCACTCTAAGAGAAATATCATCAAAGCAGTCGGCTTCACCATTGTATTATTCTTTTTCTTTGTCCTATTAAAGGTACTTTCTGCAGTCTGCAAAAAATAAAATACAATAAAAAAGTATCCCTTTTCCCCAGAGACTTAGTGAGATTAAGCTATAATTGTTTACAGCACAGGTATATAATTATTTTATCTCTCATCATCTTCTCTCATCAACCTGAAGCTCTGTTTCCAATTGTCATACAATCAATTTCAGAGAGATAAAACCTTTACCAGATCTTTCAAGATAAAGATGGTAAACGGAGGATTAAAGTTGATCTAAAATGGAGCAAGACTGTTGGGGTGCCTGGGTGGCTCAGTCAGTTGGGCATCCGACTTCTGCTCAGGTCATGATCTCGCGGTTCATTGGTTCAAGCCCCACGTCAGGCTACGTGCTGACAGCTCAGAGCCTGCAGCCTGTGTTAGATTCTGTGTCTCCCTCTCTGTGTGTCCCTCCCCTGATGGCGCTCTCTTTCTGGCTCTCAAAAATAAATAAAAGCATTAAAATTTAAAAAAATAAATAAATGGAGCAAGTCTGTAACGAGAAAACATTCCCTGTGAATCAGAAAACACAATCTCATGTTTCCAAGGGCTGGCAAAAAACACAGAGGAGCAATATAGGGCAGATAGAGACAGAAGACAATTGAAGAACATCTAGCCTGGTTAATGATGGTGGCTGCCATTCAGCTCCAGCCCATTGTGGCCTCATGAGGCTGTGGACCAAGTGCTAGCAAATCTTTGGGTGTTTTTCAAAAGTCAGCAATCCAGTACTCATGTGAAATCTCCCCAATTTTAAATCCTGGTAACTAATTTAGAAATTGCATATCTGCGGGGCGCCTGGGTGGCTCAGTTGGTTAAACGGCTGACTTCGGCTCAGGTCATGATCTCGCAGTCCGTGAGTTTGAGTCCCACGTCAAGGCCCTGTGCTGACAGCTCAGAGCCTGGAGCCTGTTTCAGATTCTGTGTCTCCCTCTCGCTCTCTGCCCCTCCCCCGTTCATGCTCTGTTTCTGTCTCAAAAATAAACAAACGTTAGAAACAGACTTAAAAAAAAAAATTGCATATTTGCTCTGTTCCTACACTTAGGACTAACAGCACATTTCTGATCACTGTCCTGTCATGGCAGGTTTATATGCTTTCCAATGTTCTTTTCCAGAAAATTCATTTGTCCTTTTTTTTCAAATATCCAACCATACTAGTGCACCACCCCCCACAGTATTCCCAAAACTTGTTCCTGACCTTCAAGATGAAGACATTCAGTTTTAATCAGGAGAGAAATCGGGGACCTTAGGGGAAAAGGGGAAACAACAGGTGCATCCAAACTAGAATACTAGAGATTTTTAAAGGGACCAGGAAAAAGAACAGCATAGAGGCAGTACCTGAAGAGAAGGTAAGTTGAGGCTGGCCACCTTAGAAAGGGGAGTCCACGCCCCCACTTTCACACACCTGGCCTAGGAAACAATGCAGCTCAGCTAGCTTTGCCTCTTCTGGTGGGACATCAGGAAGAGGTTGAAACTCCCTAAATGTTTCCTCCTTTACAAAAGGGGATCAAAATACCTCTGAGCTCCAAACGTTGTGAAGATTAAAAGAGAAAGGTTTTAAAATGGTGTTTGGAGAATTTAATTTTGTCAAACCAAGAGGTTACTTGGCAAAGGGGGAAAGGAGCCAGTAAAAAACAAATATGTGTATCTTAATCAGCTCAGGGTCTGCCACTGGGCTGGGAGGAGACAAGGTGTTTCATCAGACATCCCTCTCTTATGATAGAGCCAATCATTCATTCAACCAATTATAACTAAGCCTGTCACCGTGCTTTACCTGCAGAGTATTCAGAGGTGAGCCAAAGACACCCTACTTTCAGGGAGCTTACAATACAGCAGGAGAGATGGGAAAATAGACAACAAAAGTAATTGTATAAATTATTAGTTCTTTGTGGACAGAGAATGTCTTAATCCTTCCCGATAAGCCCAGAGCCCACAGAAGACATTTAACTTCTGAGACCACACAAGCTGTTGCAGGCTTCTAATCCTGGCTCCACCATTTCCTAACTAGAAGACCTCAGACAGGTGACTTAACCTCTTTGTGTCCATTTCCCCCACTGTCAAATGCTGGTGACAACAACAGCACCAACCTCATAAGGTTATGTGAGTTAATTCACAAAGAACATTGAAAACACTTACGTGCTCAAAAATATTAGCTACTACTGTTATCATTAATATTCTTGATTTGTGCACTGAAAAAATTATCTTCTCCATTCAGTTACTCAAATATGGCCCAAGACTTACTTAAAACACCAAATTGCTTTCTGTGTTAAACAGACTACACATGTACACATGTAGCCTGTTCTATCCTGAGGTAGGGGTCTCAGACACAAAATCTGCATCCCAGACATGAAAATGTACCTACCCATCTTTGAGGTACACCCTCCAGTTACCTGTGAAAGCTCAGAGCTTTCCAAAAATTATGTACGTGTACATAACTATGAATATGAATTATGTATATAACACAATAAAAATCAAGCTTTCGTGAGAGGTAATACTTACCAATCTTACACACTTAGCCTAGAATGCTTAGACTCTAAAGTAAAGACTTTGCCATGATCAGTTGGGATACTTACTGATAACTCAGTCGGATATAAAAGAGAAACAACAGATTTAACCAGACAGAACAGAGAAAGACAAAACTCTTGTAACAGGAGTGACATTAAAAAGAACAGGAAGTAACTGATCATCTTTTGTAAATAAAACAAATTCGCAAATTTGCACGAGGCCACACAGAAATTTTACCTGTTTAAATTTATTTTTTGACCCGGAACCCAAAGTAATGGCTGTTACTGCTTTAAGGCCAGTTATCAGCAGGGCTCAAGGAACTACTTGGCAAACCCAAGAAAATACAATTTGCAACTCTGTCACAATGTTGTGTAATCCTGAAAGTCCTACTGTCTTCTCAAGGTTAGACTCTACATTTTATAGCCAACTTAAACTAGCATCATACTGACTCTGAACAATATCGATTATGTGCTATAACTACAGTGCTTAAAAATTACTTACAAAAAAACTGACCTCCCTGAAGAGCAGGGTGCCTGAAGAGAAAATAAACAGGAAAATCAAAATTCGAACAATGACACAACACCTAATAATTATTGAGAACTTACTATACGCCAGGCACTGTATGCTTTACATGTTGGCTCATTTCATCTTCCAAAATTGCCTAAGCGGTAGGTTCTATTGTTACTCCCATTTTTCACATAATGAAACTGAAGCTCAATGAGGTTAAGTGGCTTGTCCCAGGTGATCCATCAAATGGCAGAACTCGGGCAATCTCGCTACAGGTACCAAGCTCTTAATCGTTACACAAGTCTGTCTCCCCAGCTTTGCCACTAACTAGCTATATGAGCTTGGGCAAGTCATGCCTATCCCCTTGGGCCTCAGTTTCTCTAACTGAAAATGAGAGACGCGTCCAAGAGATTTAAAATTGCGTCCAGGTCCTAGTGCTAGGGCCACACGTTACGTGGGGGGCGGGGGGGAGGGGAGGAAGCGGGGTTTGGGACGCGGTCGCAGCCCAGGCTGCCGCCTCAGGTTCGCTCCAGCCAGGGCCTCCAGGACTCCCACCCCAAGTCCCCTTTTCAGCACCGCGTTCAGAGTGCGGCGCTCCGCCGTACAGGGACGCCGTGCACCCAAAAGGCACTCAATAAAGGTGCGCCGAGCCCGCCCCGCGCGGCAACCCTGACCCGAGCCCCGCGGAGTTACCCGTCCATTACATCCAGGTGCAAATAATCGGCCCCAGAGTCCAGCATCCGGAGGCACTCAGCCCCTAAATTGGCCAAATCGCTGTTAAGGATGGACGGGCCAATCTTGCAGCCAGACGCCATGGTGCTGGTTCCCAAGAGCAAGTTACCCACGAGTCCTCCGGTAAGACGAAAGTGTCGCCCCGATTGGCTGCGCAGTTTTAGTCCCTTCCCGATAGCGTCTTCCGGACTCCACCGGAAGCAGCTGCCCGCAGGGAGGAAGTCCCTCCTCCCCTCGGGGGCGGGGCTGTCTGCCCGAGGGCTTAGGGGTGGGGCCTCTCGCCTGCAGGCCCTTGCCTTTTTCCTTCCGTCTTCCTTCTTGAAGTAGTTTTTAGGTCTCCCAGCCCTCGCCGAACTCGAAGAGTTTCTAAATCTTTTTTTGCTTTACATCCCCCGGGTTCTTTTCTTCTCGGCCCTTGCCCTCACTTCACTTTTTGCTTCTCCATTGTTTCCACCTGTGCTGCTGTCCTCTCCTCTCCAGCGCTTGTGCTTGCCTGTAAAACAACAGAACAAATAAATCCTTTCTTCTCATAGCTTTCTCCTTGAATTCTTTTTAGGAGCTGAAGGAGTCACATTTAGGGCGGAATCGTCGCTCTTCTAGGTAGTAACTGGGTAACCCGGCGGTCACTTCTCCCAGTCTCCGTTTTCTCATCTGTTAGGACCCCTACCCAGCGTTTAGGGTTGTCGTGAGGATCAGATAGGTGAATCCAGATAATGCGTTCAGCGCGAGACCTCGGGTGCCCAGTACAAAATGGTGGTGATTATTGTTATTACTACTCCCCTTCTTGGCTTCTGGCCCTCATCCTTATTCATTTTTCTTTTGTTTTTCCTTTTTATGGAGGTTCGTTGACAAATTGTAATACATTTATTTACTGTTCGGACCCAATCTGGAAGAGAGTAGGCATGTCTGTTCCTTTGCCAAATGTGTCTAAGGTCATTGGGTCAGGAAAAGGGGGTGGGGGGAAATCCCGTGAGGGGGGAAAAAAAAGGATTTAGCAAGAGCATACCTTAGATGGTAGGGAATGGGCACTTTGTAATTGATTGAAAGTGGTAACTTGGACCCCGTGGTGGTCCTGGCCATGTTTAGAGGGCAACCAGTTCCTTCACATTCCTCTTAGGAAATCTACTGGTCATTCCATCAGGTCATAATCGGGGCAGAGAAATCAAACCTGGGTACCTGTTTCCCAATATATCCATTCTGCTTTAGTTTGAAAGATAGGGGTGGAAAGCTTAAGTAAAACGGAGCTCATCTGGGGTTGGAGGGAAGAACTGGAGACTGGGGGTTGAGAAGAGACATCAAAGCACTCCCAAGGGTTCCAAAATGAAAACTTCTGAATGAATTAACCTATTCCCTATGTTGAGAATGAGAAAATGAAACTTGATCAGGCATCTTAAATGTTTTTAGCTTTATTTTATTATATGTGCATATTCAAACACAGAGGTCTTAATATCTTTCATAAATATCTTTCATAAACGTTTCAGTATTCATATGCATTTTTTCCATGCTCTTTGGTCATTCAGTATTCATCACAGACTTCATAGTCATCTAAGGGAAGTTGGCTGTGTAATCAATCATTTGTTTTTACCTATAAAATGGCTAATAAAGGATTTTCATCCTGTAGTCACAGTGACTGTTGAAAAATATTATGGAGGTACATTGATCTGTAATGCTAAATGATCCTGAAATAATAGAAGTAAATTTGTCTTAAGCTTTTCCAAATACATTCTGCCCTTGTTTTTATTGTCCTGAGTGTCAAACCAAACTTTGTTTCTGAAATGCTGCAGTTGAGACCCACTAAAGTAAGCAAGGAAGTGGGACTTTCTACTCACTGCCAAGACAAGGCCATGGAATTGAAGTGTGAGGTCACAGGGCAACAGCATGACTCAGTGTGATAGCAGCAAATTCCAGAGGCTTAATAAAGTATCCTGTATAACTTGAGGAAGGGTATTTAGTTTGCATTTTGGACTGTAACTCCACTTATGACCCTTTTTTTCCCTCTTGGTCCCTATATACACCCTATTCTCATCTTATATCATCTTACAGCTAGGCTGCAGAGTGAAGAATGTTCTTCATTGACTAAAGGGACAGGTACTAAAGAAGGGAGATGTCACCCTGCCTAATGTTCTATTGCAGGCTTGAAATAGCAAGCCAGTTGCTCTTAGCCTAGCCAACAAGCCCTAACCAGACCCCCTCTCCCCAAACACCACATCATTTTTTTCTCCACCATTGTCCTGCCCATTTATGCCTTTTACCACTATGGTTCTCAGCGACTTGTCCCAATGCACTCAGTAACTCAGTTTCCTTTTTGGAAAAATCAAATAACTTATCTAATAGAATTATAAAAAGCAGCAAATACTGAAAAATGAAAGTAAAATGTTTTGCTATAGAAAATGCTGTATCCAGGATTTGAACTGCTTTAATTGAATCTGAGTGGTATAAATCTACACCCACTGTCATGGATGATACATTTTTATTCCAAGGTCTTTCCAAAGTTAATTTCAGAAGAAGCAACCTCTTGGTTTAGTCCAGTGTTTTACACATGGGAAGTAGGTGCCTGTTTTGATTTTCCTTTAAACAAGATAAATATTAAGCATCATAGCTTAAGGAATAATCTAGTATTACCAATCTGTATTTGCCATATATAATAATTTTTAGTCATATACTCAATAATGTTTTGAACATTACAAAAACGTGTTAATTATCTTGAACTTTTTTCTGATCTTCCCCAACTGTTTTTTTTTTTAAATAGTTATTCTTTCAAACTCCAGGTAACAGTACTCCTGAGAATACATCTTGTGACAATCTTATGCACATACATATAAATACTTTATCAATTACACAGAAACATTCAACACATTACATTCAACACATTTAAGGGCACCTTAAATGGAACAGATGCACACATCTGCAAAACCTCAGCAGTCCCAGTCTGAAAACATTCCCACCCTGTAAGGCCCGGTTTCTCAGAGTGGAGGCTTTTTTGCAAGGTACAACAATACTTAGCTTATTAAAAAGTTTCCAACAGACTTCCGTAACACTAGAATGAAGGAGTCGGGCTGAAACGCAGACATGCCAGTATAATCGTGCTCAAAACAGCCCAATACTTTTTAAATTATATAAAGGTATTTAGAATTCTTGTCATATATTCAAGTTTTTTTTTTTGACTCCTTTACTTTTTAAATATTTGATACGATTATACATAGAGAATTTGAATCGAGAACCAAAAAGCTGGAACAAAGTGCACACATATAGAGACTCATACAGCCCAGACAGTTGTAATTACCAAACGTAAGGCCTCTAACACTAATTGAGCAGCATAATTTTTAACAGGCAAAATATATCAGCTTAGAAAGAATCATAAAGCCACCTTATACATATATTTCTGCACTCGAGAATTAATTCAGCATCAAGTAAATGTTCTGAAAATTTTGTAAAATTTTGAAGAGGCCGTTTACCACCTCTGTTTTCTCAAGTTTTAGATGTGAAAGTTTTCATTTTATCCATTATCTTTAACTCACAGGTGTCTTTCATTCTCTTAGGAAATGGGACACAAAACCCCAAATAATATTTGAAAGTATAAATCACAACATAAGCAATGCCTATTTAATAAGCAATTTTAACAAAAAAAAAATAATCTTCCTTTGTGATTTGGGTGAGTTTAGCAGGTCTCTCTATAAACATACTTTTCATAGCCAACGTAGTTAAAAGTTTAAGCACACAGAATGTACTTTCGATTCACTGCCATATAATCAAAATCTATAACTTCAGTTGGAGGACTAGAAGATGCACACACACACGTGTGTGCATACACGCACCAATTTACGTACATATATGAGTTTTTATATGCTTAGTAGTTATGTAACAGTTTTCTAATGTAAACTGTTAAAATTTTGAAATTCAGTTTTGAACTATATGATGCCAAGCCCTACTACAGGATCAGTAACACACTGGATATGGCCTCACAAGTTTTCTAAGTTTTATGCTCTTCTTGAAGTAACTGAACTTCAGGTTAAAGTACACAAACTGACTGTGCCTATGAAGAGATTGCTCACTTTATCATTTCTCCTCATAAACATAGATGTCTAAAGGATAAGAATATTGTTAACACTGAGAAAAAGTTATTTTACCAAACCAATTCTAACAACAATAACTTCAATATCTAAAAATATACCCTCGAGGGCAGGCACAGGATACTGGAATCACATTTCCCAATATCTCCTCATCTTGGCATTGATGTGGTAATGGCTAGAAGTAGGAATACCATACGTTTCTAGCTAGAATATTTACATTTAGTTTTCATTATAGTATAGGCTGTTTAGGTTCTTACTTCAAAATTGTGTGGTTATTTTTAGAATATTTTCTCTCTAACATGATTATGAAATGGAACGATCTTAGGGCTTTAGCATTTTGATTTACAACATGCAAGGTAAATGACGGTTGAAAAATAAATATTGAAAAATCCACAGCTTTAAAAATAGTATTTTCTTTTTGTAAATGGCTGTATTGTTGGTCAAAGCAAAAGTGGCTGCAGGCTTATTTATTATTTAGTCTCCTCAAACTAATATTTTCCTTACTTATTATTTTTATGTAAATTGCTATGCATACAGCCACCTGATTTAATATTTTTGAAACTATAAAAATAAACATTTGCATGAGATGTATAATGTGAGTAATCTCAAAAATTGCATTCTCTTTTTAGAACATATTATTTGTTAATATTCCTAGGTAAGCAGCTCCATAATAGTATATATTTTTAACTGCTCAAGGCTTTTTGAATCATAAACAATGTGCAGTGAAATGGCTCTTTCCTCTTATTCTTCCCTGGTTTTTATGGTCTTCACACAACCAAATTCTCTTAGCCATTGATTTTTTAAAGGTGTTTATGAAACAATGTGCGCATTAGCAGCAAAATCTACTGAGATTTGTGTCACCCGTTGGATGTAAAGTGCTGTGTCTTCATCTTTTCCGAGCAAAAGTAGTCACCTTTGAGCAAAGCGATCCCTCCTACATCTCGTCTATACCTGCCACTCTTACAAGATCCAGAATTAAACATGAGACTCATCTAGGTCTACATCAGTCTCCCCCAGCTCAGTGGGCGTAAAAGTGAACTGGCTGGACAGCAGGGGGTTCTCCATGCCATTTTCCTCACTGATGTGAAGGACGGTGTCTCCGTGCTGTAGGAGGATGGATGTCTCAAGGCCTGTGAATTCATCAGGGTCTGAGAGTTGCGTAGAGAGGGGGCTGTGTGCTGTAGCACCTTGCACTTCTGTGTCCTCCTTCTTTTCTCCTTCTTCAGCAGGGAGGGTCTCACTCTGTGACCAAAAAGATCATAACATCATGGAAAGGTAGGATAGGTGCCAGGGAAGAGCATCAAAAATATTGTTGTCTACTTGAAACCGGATAAGAAATCACACGGCCAGTCCCCAGTTGTAGCATTTGCCATATGTGAGCTCCTCTGTGGGCCCTTTCAACTTTGTAAGCCTCTGTTTTCTAATCTGTAGCATGAGCGGGTTTTTTTGTTTTCTTTTGTTTTGCCCTCTTACCTTGTTTGTAGACTGTGAGGTAATAGGAGGGGATGGTGTTACAATGCTTTTTAATTGTTAACGACTATACAATGTATGTAGTGACATTGCCCCTTCTTTAAATACCACTGGGAAGAACATGGGGACCTATGGGAATTCACTTATGAAACATTGGAAGAAGAAAAAAAAATTAAAACCACAAGAAAAATATCAAAACAATGAGGAAAAAGGTCAGAATACGAAGTTCCTCTCATCTCATAGGATACAGAAGGCTCTCGTTTTTACGGCTTCTAAACTGGTAACTTTATTTTCCTTTTAAATTGAACCACCTTTCAACCAGGTATTATATATTGGTTTTCAATGGTTATTTTAGCTGGGAAATATTTTCTCTTAAGTTTTTCATAACAAAGAATACCAAGGTTTCTCTTATTCCTTCTTAAGCAGCTGTATTCCTGACCATATACTTTATATGGATTTTCTTGTTCATGATGAGAGGACGGTTGTCTGTCTGGGTAACAAAATGTTACAGACTCAGACTTAAATTAAATGTAATAAATTTGCATATCCATGTTGCTCATAGACATAAGTGGGCAGGGAGCAAGCCTTGCCAGTTTCGGTAGAGCCCTCACCTGCTTGGGAGACAGGCTGTGAAGATCAGCAACCACAATGGCAGGGGAAGACGTGAGGACTGGTTTGTCCATTCCTTCTGGTTTCCTAGATGGAGCTGGGCTGCAGCCTTGTGGCTGGCCTATAGCAGGAAGTGTTTCTGTTGGGGAAGCTGCTGGCTCTGGCTGAGCCTCAATGAAGGTCACAGAACGTTTCTGATCCGCTGTAGGTCAGAATTAGAGCAGTAAATACGGAAAAAAAAAAAAAATGTTGTCAGTGCTTAAAAATTAGCTTTGACCACTGTTTCCTGGCTTTTCTTTATGAAGACACTGCTGGCTTATTAATAAATGAGAACATATTTGACTATCAGGTACATGTTTTGATTTCACCTTCTTTCCTATAAAGAGTAGGACTTGGGTAGAAAAAAATCATTTTTACATAAAAGGCTTAATACAAGATTTCCATAGAGGGTTAGGGGAACTTGGTTATCACTCATAACAACTACCAACAAGACTTCAAAGTCTCTATTATTCATCATTTCATTGTCTTTAGTAAGACACAAACTCAGTTCCTCTACTTTCTAGAGTCAAATCTCATAGCATTCATGGTTTACCTTGAACTCTTCCATTTCCCTAGGTTCATAGGGTAGGCATAGGTAGGAAAAGTGAAAAGAAGAAAAAGCACTAAAGTGTTCTGGGTGACTTCTTCCCTTATCCTAGCATGTTCCCGTAGGTATGCTCATCTGCATGCGTTCAGGGTCTACAGACCTTCCCGACTGGGTTGCATGACATCAATGTGTCAATGGTACAGTCAGAAGGGACACAGGAGGCCTCACCAGATGGCTTCGTTTTAGGTTGAATGCTCCTGCGGGTGGTTGACAGCCGAGCCCCATGGCGGTTTTTGGGTTCAGTCTGGGTCTTCTGACGTGATAGTAGAGGACGTCTTAGCTAAAGAGAACAGGCAGAATAAAGCTGGCAAGAAGGGTCTGACTGTCTGGGAGGAAACTGTGCTCAGAGGATTCTGACTATGGTGTATTCTTTACGGGTTTCTGTGGATGCTTATATTTGTAGCTGATAAATTAAACTTCTTTCTGCATATGTAACTATTGCGTATTTGAATCTGGCATCCCCTTTAACCAATTCTATCTCCCAGTTATTAGTTCTTTATGTATCCTAAGGACGTAGATTAACATAATTTCAAGCAGTCATGTGGGAATTTCAGAATTACTGCTTATCAACTGGCCTCTACTCACCTAAAAGTCATAGTTAAACACATGCTTATAACGCTCAAGGGGAGGTTCATGAAAAAACTTCAGATGCTGAGAAAGCATCTGGTATCCAAATCAACGTTGAGAAGCTCCAATCAAAGCAACAGTGCAAAGGCTCATTTAAGTTTGTATTTAAAAAGTAAAGGAACCCCACCTAAGGAAATTTGTAAAGATGATCTTTACTTTAATTTCGATTTTAACCTGAATCATTACTCTGGAAATGAGTACGTGTATGCCTGTATACAGAAACAGGCCTTAAATCAACTTTATTACCAGCCCTCCTTGCTCAGTCAGGTTGGTTGGGAAATAAGGTTTCTGAATAGGGAACAGACAGACGTATAGGCCTACTTACTTTACTAAGTCATCAGCTTTGCTAATAAGATTCAAAGCCAACATAGAACTAAAACTCTCAGCTTGCCCAAGTACTTACCACATTTTAAAGTTGCTCTGTACAGCTTATTTCAGGTGGGAAGGCAATATATGATCTGAATACAGGTGGGCATTAAAAATTAAATAGAGCTTTCATTTCGTAGAATCACTCTCCTGCCCTTTCAGGGTCTGCTTACCTGCCTCAGGCCCCTCTTCCTCCCCAGTGGCTGCTGAATGAGGAGGTTCTGTTGGCCAGGCTCACTCTGGACACTTGCCACCCTGTCGAGCATCAACAGTGTTAGTGTGGACCCTGCGGAGACTGAGAAGACCATCCTCTGGTGGGTGGTAGCCAAAATCACTTATATGAAACAGTCACTTCAAAGATACCATTATCTTTGAAGGAAGGTCAGGAAAGGATCCCTGGGATGGGAGATTTCAAGGGTTTGGGAGGGAGAACGAGGCCTTACAGCCCCACGCTGCCAAAATTGAGATTTTTGTTTTCAGTCACTGATGCCATATCTATCATTGAGCAAAACATTGGTTCGATCACACCCCTGGTTTGGAAGCCACCATAAAGTTAAAGATGTCATATACTAATCTCAATTTTTTTTTTTTCCAAGGGGAAGGGAAAAGGTGGTGACAAACAAACACAAACAACTCTATCACATGGATGGGAACACCTTCTTTAAAATTTCAATTCAAATGAAAATAAGATGGACAGATATCAAACACATCAGACACAGAATCCATTTGGGTGAAGGGGCACATTCAACACATGTTTGCAGCCTGAAGTCTCTGTGACTACTGAGTAAATGGATAGTCACATGGGTAGACAATTCAAATGTTTTTTAAAAAAAGATTTTAGATTTAAAAGGCCGGCGAAATAATTAAGCTATCAGTAGAACTCAGAAGCTTAATTAAGTAATATTGAGTAGCTGCACTCAAACATATTGTACAGTTTATAAAACAACCACCTGCTCCCCCCAAATTTGCTGTGTATGTGTGCATTTTATATGCAAAAATGACTATCGACAGTGGTCGCTATTTCAGTATTGGGTGAGGTGGAAAATATTGTCATGGGCCCATGATCCATTTTCATTCTGCATGCATGTATAATAGGTATTTATACTGGAAAACGGGGGTGAAAAAAGGAAATGTATTGTGCCCCAGAGAACATTGTAATCCTACAGATGATGCCAATGTGCTTATTTGGTTAATTACTGCTTTGCCTTTGCAAAAGGAGAGTCATCTACAAATAGGCTTTAGAGTAAAACATTCAGAGGAATCCTTAGTCAACAACTGTCCAGGAAAAAGAAAGACTATATTCATTCATTTCCATTTTTTTTAAATGAACTATCTAAAGTATCTAGCTGTAGTTACAGGGAGAGAAATTGATGGCAAGATGGACAATCAGATGTTTCCCCTATTAACAACTAGTTAACCATCGTATGGTTGATAGTCATATCTGTCATTTTTTAAATGTCTTACTCATATTTCCACTAGAAGAAAATTAATGATTCCCAAATGGAGTTTATCAAAGTTTTTATGAAATAAGGATGTAAGTATAATTGGCCATTTGGGATACACAATACAAAGTTCCAGAGTCCCCAAAACAGATGCTTTTTAAACATTCTTGTCTCTTTAATGTCAAGTTCAAAAGATCAATATACATTACTTTTATACATATATGACCTTATATCATATATGACCTTTCTATGAAAATTATCCAAATGAACAATGCAATAAATTCTGATAAGCAATCCAGACTCTGTTGCTGTTTGAAGTGACATCTCCTTATTAATTATACATTTTAACATGTGTCTTAAATTGGAAAGAGAATTCAATTACATATGCACAAAAGTAGAAACAAGTTTCTCTCAAATACCAAGCAAAGCTCTCTTTGGCATGGTTTCTTCATTGACATCTAAATGTTACCTCAGTTCCCTTGGCCAAAAAGGGAGGTTAATACTTACCATCTACCTCCCATTAAGGTAGAGAAAAGAAGTTAGTTGATGTAAAATGGTTTGAACATGAAAAGGGATGTATAGAACATGCTTCTTTGTTTTACACTTGATATTTGTAATGAGTTTATTGCTTCTAGAACGCTAAAAGGAAGTAGGTTATAAAATGTCTTGAAAACAATTGGGCTGAGAAAATGAAATTGAGGCAGTCCACTTGTCTCATTTTTATTCAGTAATCTGAGATTGTGAGAAAAGAAAATGGCACGAGAAAAAAAATACACGTTACTCAGGGAGTGTTGAATGTCAAAGCATAATGGTAATTTCATGATGATTATTCCAAGAGAGGATCAGAAGCATAAAAATTTTCTCTATGGATAGAGAGGCTTATATCTAAGAAATGAATCAAGTTTATAGCTTTAGCAATTAGCTGTTCTATGTAAATGATCTAGCATTTCATCAGTGGAATGTACACATTAAAGATGAAATTACAGAACATGTCCTTGGAAATAGTATATCCCAGCTAATAAATTATATTCTCCCTAAACATTTGGTGCTAACATGTTGGTACTGGGGACATCCAAGTCTGGCTTAAATGTGTACAGTTAGGCCACATTAATAATAAACAGCCAGAGAAGTTAATAATGGAAGTAATTTATGCAGAACACATTTCTTTCTCTCAGGTCTATATCAAATTGGAGTTGCATAGAAAAAGGAGTTTCAATTTAGCTTCTCTCTGAGTCATGTACTGTATTAGTAGAATGTAGCATTTATGATTTGTGACCATAAGAATGTACAATACTAAAACCAACCTGGAGCAGACCAAGGTGTCTGCCCTATGCACCTCTCTAAAGAAAACTGGTTTCTTGTAAATTTTAATCTTGGGAGTGAGAAATGGCTGATTTTCTACTGTTTGACAGTAGAATAGGTTAACTTATAGAATAGGTTAACTAATAATAGGTTAAGACAATAGAGATAAAAGGAAATAAAACTTTCTAAATTGAAGCTAAAATTATCCTTTGTATTTTGAGTCACTGAAAAACATGACCATGGCAAACCATACAATGATCTGGATTGTAGAGAAGTACATGCACTTGGGGCTTAGCAGAATTTTGACTCAACTGTCTATGAAAAACAAAAACACCTTACTCAAAATGCAAGGAAGTAATTTATAAGCTAGCAAAGTTTAGACAATGTTAGGAGAACAATTCTGGCACAAATGACTTCTTTTCCCCTGTTTCAGCCTGATGGCCTGAATTATAGTGTAGAAATATGTATGCATCTCCTGAGTGGGACATATACCAAAATGGTACTTCTTAAAAGAAAGGAGAGGTGAATAAGGGGATATTCAGTAATGTAATGAAAATATAATATGCAAAAATGTGATAACAATTCATATCATTTATCCTAAATTACAAAAAAAGTATAGATTGAGACATTAATATATTTCATAAGTGGAAGCTGTAGGTGAGACTAGCACAAGGAAAATGAATTAGTATTTTCATTGACTTCACCTATGCTTTTAGTTTCAATTTTAATATGTTAGAGAAATCTAGAGGCGGAATACGAGACACAAAGCATAGCCATTTACCTGGAGTGATTGCCTCGTGATAGGAATGCATAAAGCCTGCACCAAAGGAGCTATAAAGCATTTGTAGAGAACAGGGATACAAACAGGAGACAAAATTCTACTTCTCCCTTTCCCAATAAAAGAGCATTGTTTAAAATTTACTTAGCCTCCACAGTGTCGGGAGCAAGAATTTCTGTCCACTTAAAAGTCCTTCTGGCTGGACTAAGAATCAAATTGACATGAGACAGATTAACAGGAGAAAATCAAATTTAATAGTGCACATATGGGGTATCCACATAGACATGGGAATTCCAAAGATAGGCAAAATGAGGTATAGGTGTTATTCTGAACTAAGTAGAAGGGGTTTGGGGTCTGGGATTCCAGAGGAAAGTATGTACTTCACAGGGCAATAAGAAGAGCAGGTATTTGGTAATTAGATGTTTGCTCTGCCATACAGATGGGTTGCTCAGATAAAATTTATCTCTATTAATAACACTTATTCTGGGAAAGACCCCCAATTTAGATTCTGCAGTGTGGTTCAAGAAGGACAAAAGTTTCCCTTGATGCCATGGGGTCTCAAGTGCCCTCAGCTCAAAATAATCCACTGGCACATTCTGGAGGGGGTCTGTCCAGAACCCCCTCAACAACATCCAGAAAATGTATTTTAAATGCCACAGAATTTAGAGATTAGTGGCTAGAATCAAGAGTAAAACGGGAGAATAGTCTGGATTTTAGATAGCCAGTAAGAACGGAGATAGCATTGGCAAAGGGCGTATCTGTGTATCACAACACACATTTTCTTAGCTGTTCATCCTCAGCTACATGAAAAGGTTTCTATATTTTGCTAAGTACTTGGAGACTACTTGCCTAGTTTTCATACTTTGAAAATGTGGATGAACATGGGTTCTACTAAGTAGGTTATCTTCATTTTGTCTCACCCAGGCTTGTTCAGACTTGAGCCACGTTCTTATTTTTCATTGTGATTGAAGTTACCCTTACAGAATCAAACAGCATTATAATATTTTTCTAAAATTTATAATTGACTGTTAATCTGTGCCTTCAAAAGTATTCTAATGTGTCCAAACAAAATCTAATTTTCCAGTATACACATCCAGGCTAAAGTGCTTGAATAACTTCTGTATGTTTAATTCTTCTGGAGAGAAAACATGATTCACAGTGTGTGTATTTAGGGGCATATACAGAGAGAGAACATCTACAGTGAGTTTCTATGCCTCTAAGAGCAACACTCTCAAAAGAAGAGAATCACTCATGGGATATTATTTTATCCCGTTTATTAATTTCCAAGAGAAAGAATCTTTGCTCCATAGTGTAGTACTTCTAACAGGCTGATATTTCCCGTGATGAGTATTTAAAAGAAAGCAGATAGCACAGGTTAGAAAAAAAGTCCTGGAAGAAATTGTCAAAAGGTCTGCAGAGTTTTTATTCTTTTCTACCTATTCATCAGATCACCTTAGTTATCTGGTCTCTTCCTTTTTTTTTTTTTTTTTTTTTTTTTTGGTCTCTTCCTCATTTTTCCATTAGGCCAACATGTGCCACTGACCTAAAACAATTGCTCTTTCAAAAGCAAATCTCCAGAAAGTACCAAAATGTTGGGGGGTGGGGGAGAAGCAGCTTGTATTACTTTCCCTTGGGCATGTTTCCTGGCATCCTGTAAGCTTTGGAGCCAGATTTTCCTTAGGACTACTTTGGGTGTATTTTAGGGCCTGAGTGCTCAGGTGTGTGCTGAATATAATTGCCGTTGTTAATGCCTTACTGCTTCTTTAGGATCTTAAGAGTCTGAAACCTAAAGAAGTTTCATGTCAAAAATAAGAAAGCCTGGAAACCAAATATAATAAGTGTCTATTCTATTTTATAAACCCACCTCTTAGTAAATGCCAAAAGTTCCTCTCCTCCAAAGAGAACTTGGTGACGTGATGGAGTTTAAAAAATACGATTTGCAGTGTATATGGCAAAGGTGGATGTGCTACTGGCTGGTGGAATACCTCTGCATTAATAGAGTTATTTAGAATCCAAAGTGAATGCCTCATCTTCTCTGTTCTTAATGACCACCACTGAGGCTGGGTGGCTAACACCCAGAACAAAAACATGCCAGTTACAGGAACCACAGATCAACAACAGTTGGTCTAAAACCGTCCCCAAAGTCCTCACATGACTAACTAATTCAGATGTAGATAAAAAGTTATAGCTTTGGCTCTGATTCAGTCTCATGTAGCAAAAACTTTGGGTTTTATTCCCATTGGTACTGGACCCAAGCCAGATTGGTTCTGATAACCCCAAAGTCAGCAATTTGAATCCTGAACCTGCTAGAGACGACTAAATCCTTTGGAGAGTTTGTAAAAATCAACTCAAATCCCTGCTTTCTCTCACCAAACCTGAGCTAGTATTGACTCGGCAAGAGTAGAATTTGGCCTAATTAGAAAAGCCCTGGCCGAATGGAAGTCTGATTTAATCCTTTCCATTCTCAGTGGGCCACCGAACTTATCTCCTAATCAAGGATCTGTTGTCTCAAGTCTGATTTTAAGCATCAAACAAATGTTTTCTTTGAAAGTAGTGGTCATGGTGCTAGACTTGGTTCAGATCTTTTCAAACACGGTGAACAATGAAAGGAAACCGTCTTGAGACCGTCTTGTTCTTCCTCATCCCCAAAGCTCTTGATAATGGAATTAAGTCTGCACACGCTGCAGCACTTCCACATTTACCACCAATAAGAGACTGATCTGTCAAGGCAAGGGCTCGCAAACACAAATGAATGTCATGAATTATGGGTCTAGTAAAAAAAATGATACACCCGATGATGGACTAAATTTCCCATTTTCAGTTGCTAAAGAAAATGTGAAATCTGAACAAGATGCAAAGAAAACAAAGAACACCCTTTCACAGGAACGGCCTCTCAACATTTCCTCATCTTTGTGATAAAGCAATAAACACGTTGTATTGTACTCACTATATAATGCAGACCTGGAAGGGAATGTTTTCTCTTGAGATGGAACTAAGGAACTCTTAGAATGAACAAGAAGCATTACCCCTAATGAGGATTAGTTGAGAGGTGTGAATCAACAGCACAAGATTAGGGATGTGTGACGTGGTTTATCTGAGTGTTAAAGGTGCAGTCCCCCTTTCTGATGCTTTAAACCAATAGCCAAGGCATTTTGTTGTTTGCATCAAAAGACTTTTCTTACTTACCAAGAAATGTTTGTGTCTGATATTTCATGACAAGTTTGGGAGTCATCTTTGTGCTGGGACATTCTTTTTACGTGCTGTTTGAACAAGCTACTATAATAGCTTGCCACATAGCATGCATCGAAGAGAGGGAATTATAGAAATTGTATTGACATTGCTACGTTTATCATAGCAGCATTGTTTGTCTTCTTACCATCCATGCTATTAGCTAAAAGACCTGGCTACATTTAATAAGGGGCTGCTTGATGATGGGGAGTTGTATTAAAAGGCTTGTGAAAAACAGTTCTCAAGGGATATCAGTGTGGGAGGGAATGATTCGATGGGATAAAATTAACATTTAGCATATCAAACTTTAGACGTCCATGGGACAAGCCCCTGAAAGAACTCCAGAGATTTTTTTTTTTCTTTAAGTAAGCTTTTTAGGCCATTTGTGATTAAACTCTGAAGCTGAAAATGAAGGAGGCTACACCTTTGACTTCCAGGCTCGTGTGTTCATGAGCAACAAAGGGTAAGAAATGGAAATAGATATCAAGACGGGGGCGAGAGGAGACAGAGAGACAGAGAGACAGAGGAGACAGGGAACAGCTTAGTTTCCCAGCACAGACACCAATAGACAGGTAGCATTGACACTGTACCTAGAGAGGCTGCCCTCAGCGGCCAGGCCCTGGGAGTCATCGAGGACATTAGGTTCACTGCAGGAGGGGTAGGGAGATGAAGCATTTAGGGAAAGAAAATGCAAACAAATAAAAGAAAAAGAAAAAAAAGGCATGCAATTTTCTGCTTCCAAGAGCCAAAAATAAATTTAACAGAACAAGGAAGGAAAAGGAGACAGGTAACCATTTCACCTTGTGCTGGGTTTGTCAAGACAGGACTCGAGGCAATGGGGGAGGAGGGACTTTGGGTGGTTGCGACTCTCAGAGGAGTGATCTGTTTATTGGTTAAGCGTTGGGACTTAAAATGAGCTCCAAAGGGACACATGAGCTCTGAAATGCGTTGCAGAATGAATCTGTAGAAGATGAGATTATAATTCCTTTGGTAACCATTTGGTTGGATGGGTATTACTTTTAACCTGTCTTACTATGTACATGATTCTTCATTGATCAGGAACCTGCTTCTTTCTTGTGTGTTGTGACATTATCACACAAAAACCACTTACCATGACTGCCACAACCAAACTCTTGGAACTGATGCCATTAAGAAAAGCAAAGAAAGAACTCAACTTCCCTTGCTAATTTTGCAATGAAAATGCAAGTAAACAAACGGAAGGAAGATAACCCTGGAATATTCACATGGAACTCTCATTTACCGCCTTAGTCCTCCTCTAGTGACTGAATTCTAAATGCCAAAGGAAAAAAACTTGTCAGGTTGGTGAGAGAATGATTAGTTTATTGATTTATTTGGGTGCAGCTGATTGCGGGTTTTGTGAACAGAAACTGTATCATGCTTTCTTTCTTTCTTTCTTTCTTTCTTTCTTTCTTTCTTTCTTTCTTTCTTTCTCTCTCCTTTAGTACCTAGCTACCATTGAGCTAAGCACCCATGAGCTGATTGTACACTGTAGAAATAGCCTGTCTCCAGGAAGAGGCTCCTTTTTCTTAATACACATAGACTTTACTACCTTCACTAGCCTTCCAAAATATGACTCAAGCCAAAGGGTTTAACTGTATGATTTTTCCGGATTTCCCATATATCCACAAGAGAACAAATTTTCTCCCTTGAAACAAATTACCCTCTTAATGAATATGTACAAAGGGAATGGATGGTCTTGTTAGTTTAGATAAATAACCAAGAAACTCTCTATGTTAAATTCCTATAATTCCCTAATGTAAATAAAACTTTTAAATAAATTACTGGATAGTTTTCTCTTGTCCTTGATAGAACCTTGCACATTGCTAGCAATTAAAAGTGAATTGATAGTTACCAATATTATCTTTTATTTTTGGACATTTTATGTATGTATGTATGTATGTATGTATGTATGTATTTATTTATAAAGTAGGTTTCACGCCCAGCACAGAGCCCAATGTGGGCTTGAACTCAAAACCCTGAGATCAAGACCTGAAGTGAGATGAAGAGTTGAACATTTAACCGACTGAGCCATCCAGGCACCCCCTTTTTTGGACATTTTATAGTTTAGATCTAATTTTGTTCGCACAATTTACTTGTAAGACTTCCTTTTTAAAGGCAAATTACCAAAAGGAAGGTACATAATCTTTAATAATTATACTAACCCTTATATATTATTAATTTTTGTAATAACCAACCAGTACATAAAACATTGCTTTCTTGACAAGTATGCAATTTCCTTATTAATCATCTTTTATCATTTTCCCCTATTTTTTGATATTCTCCCAAGTTAGGCTTCATTTCACAATTTTTTTTCCATCTGTAAAGTTCATGAACTATTTGCTAAAGGATTTGGGTACAGGGTAATTATTCCTGCATATAAACTGATTTTATCTAAACATTAGAATGTGCTCCGGTTTGTATTATCTTCCATGTATGAATTATAACAATGAACCTGTAGTATTAAGAATAAACAACAAACTAGCCAAAAACACATAAGGCCAATGCTTTGAAAGAATTCAGTTCCTGAAGTGAAAATATCACTGGTTCTGAAATAGATAATGTTTTGACTTTTACATCACATAATTTTCTATACTTGATATATGTATCTTGGAATGTTTCATGTATATTCTTAGAGGGCAGAGAACACATAAAGAAAATGTCTTAAAGTGGTTAGTCATGGAATCATAAAACTACAGATAGAGAAGGTACCGTGAAGACCACTTTAGCCAACTTCTTTATTTCACAGACAAGAGCATTGCTGACCCTTGTTAAATGACCTGCCCAAGGTTACACATGTTGGCATAGGTCCTGTTCTGTTTGGTTAAGCATCACTACCTCCAACTAAATACTAATGAGCTACCAAAGTCTAAACTGTACCACATGTATCAAGCTAGTCTTATATGCTTGCCAGGTACTCATTAGCTTAGCTAATGATATATGTGAAATACGAAAATGTCATTTGATGACCAGAAAAAAAGATCATGTATCTATTTCTAGAGAATTTTTAAGTTGAAACAATGCATGCGTCCCAGCATTCTACTGGTCTGGCTTAGAAAACTCTGCAAACTGTTGCCTGCATGACTTTGGTTAAAACGTCCTTGGTTGAATGATCTATATAAAAACATGATTGTCTGCTTCTCTTTTGGCCTTTTAAGAATAATAAAAGTAAATTTTCAGCATTGCTAGCTTTGCCCCCAAATGCAGAATGTAAGATATCCATGGCTCTTTACCTTTGGCTGGGTAACATGCCCACCTCGGCCTGAGGTGCAGACATGCTAGAGACGTGGCTGGAGAACCGCCTCCTTCCGATAGCACTCAAGAGGTAAGCTTCTTGTTCACTTACCACACTAGGCATGCTTACAGAGTCATCTGATAGGGGGCAAAGGAATGGAGTGTTATAAAACTATGACGTCGATCAGAAAACCCAAACCAACTTTGTCCTTGGGTTCCATCCTTGGCTTGAATACAACCTTAGGGCGATCTCTGAAGCTATCATTTGTACCTTTTATAGACTATAAAGTAAGACTCCCAAAGGTCTTAGTTTTTCGTGGGTACAAAGGGATAAATAACTCTTCATATCTACACATCTCCCACCCTCAAACAGCCCTTATGAAATAAACAAAAACTTCTTAGCCATTTCACAAGTAAATAACTTGTGAGAGTCAAGAGGCATTGGCAACATAAAGATTTCAGAAAAGCTGGACTAAACATTCTGAGAATAGTGCAAAAAGGAATATTATTAAATGAGTCACGTACATTTCTTTGACATTCAAAAACTACATTGAGTACACCTAAAGATTTTTAGACAGCTGAGGGAAAGACTATTTCAGATAGTTTTAGGAAAAATATTTTAAAACTTATAAAGTTAAAAAAATAAATGCTTATTTTGACCTAAAGTTTTAAACTGTATGCATGTAGTCTTACTTTCTTCATGGAAGTGGTAATGTATTCAAACCCAAGTGAAAGTTAGCTTTAACACAGTATTTGTGACAGGTAATCTCATTCAAGTGAGTTAATGTTGTTTGTTGCTGAACAGTAAACATATTTTGATTAACATAGTGTTGTGGTGAACTTATGCTACCATATAAGATCATCTGACATCGTGCATTTAAAATACCCCAAATAGTCCTATTTCTAACAAAACTTCTTTCAAACCCAAAAGGTGTATATGAAGTGTCAGAAATATTAGTGACTGACTTGAAGTTGATTCTTGTTATAGAGTGGTATTTCTTTTTTAGGTGTGTTCACAGAGAAGAGAATAAATAAATGTGCCTTAAAAATATGAAAAACATGGTAAGGTAGATAGAGCTGTTTCTACAAAAATCAGATCTCACTGATTTTTCCCCCTATTTAAATTCATATATCACTTAACAGTTTGTCAATATTTGTTTGATGATTGATTATGTGTTGCCTTCCATTCACCCTTTTGTTATATGTTACCAAAAATGTTTGTCATCTCCTCTGCAGGACTAGATCTAAGATCTCACAGAACGTATTTTTTCTCATTCTTGTTCCTCATCTTGTACCTGTTAGGTCTTAAGACAGGTTTGATGATAGAATGGGAAAATAGTTTAATTCAAAAGAGTCAACCATCTGGCTTTCATATCCACCCTATATAAATTAATACACACCCACATAACAACCACACATTTGTTAGCAACTCAGTTTCCGCTGGGATGATTGTGATGTCTAAGAGCAGAGATATTGACAAAAAATTACATATTCATCAGTGTGTAAGTGCTGGCTCCTAGCTAGTGGTCGTTCTGTTTATGTCCTCTCTACTTTTCTTCTCTATTTCCTTCCTGCTGGCTAGGACATCTACTTATTCCTAAGGTTACCTACAAAAAATATTTAGCTCTACTAAAGATTGGTGGTATAATTTCCCATAATTAAAAAGATTGCTGGGAGAGACTACTTCAAGCATTAAAGAAAAATAGATACTACTTGAAGTTCGGAACGATTATAAGGACTTAATGAATATAAAAACTGTTGATCCTTATATCTCTCATTTTGTTTCCTTGGTCAAGATTTTCCAAGATTGCCCAAATTACAATTTGAAGAGTATTTCCATGCACAATGACCAGGGTGATTTTGAAACAAGTATATCTGTAGGTCAAGTGAAGGACAATATGATTATCACTTTGTTATCTAATTAACCCTGAAACAAAATCTGGAAATGTTGCTGCATTTCTTTCTTTCTCTCTCCTACACATCCAAGTATAATAGGGTACTAAAATACTTTCATTCATGTTAATTAAAATTCTAACCTCAACTCTTATTTTTTCTAGTTTTGATTGAGGCTTTTTGTTGTTTTTTGACATGGAGAGGCTCTGAGTGAAGATCTACATTTTGTCTTCTTCATTTTTAAGACATTGACAGCATGCTTTGCTATAAATGTTATATATCAGAGGGTCTTTGAAACACAGCTGGAAAATAATCAAGACAATAAAAATAAGTAAATTACCATGGTATTTCATTGGACCTTTACTTTTTACTTTTAAAACTTACTCCTGTTAAGCATACACATGAAGTATATTCTCAACTAGATTTTCCCACATTTCATGACACCAAATCTTAGGCATATGAATTAGAAGCTCCTGGACGGCCTCAGTCATTAGGGATACTCTTAATTCAAATTTAGGTTGTATTCCCTCTTGGGTTGTATTCCCCCATGAGAGCCTACTGGTTTATGTTCTAGAGAGTGTAGCTGACTGGTCTTTTCTGAGTCCTGAGTACATGCATTGCTTACTTTTCCTTGCCTAATAGGGTCATGTAAGTGCTGATGAGCTTTCTAAGCAAGATAGCCAGGAGAAACGGGAATAAACACTTCCCTTAGTTACCTAAGTACCACTTAAATGAGAATAAGTGGAAAAGTTTGAATATACAAGCTCAAAAAAAATGTGGGGGTCACTAAAGATTTACTTTTTGTCTGAATTCCTTCAAAATGACCAAGACTATCAAAGAATTTATAGAAGAGTAGGCAGTAGAGATCATGGTCACAATTCCATTTTAAATCCTTTTTGTAAAAAATGACCAAGGGATCAGAACTGGAAAGGGTCAGAATGGCAGAAATCCTTTGCAAGCTCTCATTTGCATGCCAAGCTGGGTCACACATGCCACCCCCCCCCCCATCAACCCCATACTGTGGGGTGACCTACTTTCCTCATCTTCCTCATCAGTCCTACTCAGGGTGTCCTGCGAAGCCTGCTGGGAGGGTTCACTGTCCTGCTCCCAGACAGTGCCTGTGCCCGTGTTGGAGCGGGACATGGTGGCCAGGCTCAGGCGGTAAGCGGAGGTGGAGGTGCCCACAGTACTGATGGACGTCTTCCCTTGGTAAGCTGGGAGGTTGAGAGACCAAAGGAAATCCATGGTGAGCATCTTGAAGGAAAACAAATGCTTGCTTCAAACTCCTCCCTTGTATTGGCTACTTGTATTTTTTTAGGAAAGGCCAGTGAAATAGTGTGTCCTAGATAAATAGTCTTTAGGATAAAATAGTGAGTGGAAGTGAAGATAGAAGAAGAAGAAGAAGAAGAAGAAGAAGAAGAAGAAGAAGAAGAAGCAGCAGCAGCAGCAGAAGCAGCAGGAGGAGGAGGAAGAGGGAGGGGAGGAGGAGGAGAAGGGGAATTGGCATTTGATTTACTTATAATTGAATAGTTTCTTCATGGGAATATAACATGTCTAATAACGTAAAATGCTTTGATATGGCTTCTTTTCTCATAGCTTTAGATATCATATGCTAAGCCTGGAAGAATGCAAAATAATTTTGACATGAATGGAAGCTTCCAACTTGGCAGATTTTACTGAGAAATATACCTTAGCTCACACAAGCATGCGGGAGTAATAAGTACGTTGTCTGATAGGAACTTCTCAATCAAAATCAGAATACAAATCAAAGCTGTGTTTCCATTCTCCTTTTCTGGAAATTATAACTTAAAAAATATCCCCTTGAATATGTCAAATTATTTTTATCATAAAGCAGAATATTTGAATGGCACTCTGCAGATTTTACTAAGACTGTACTCATCAAAATCTGTCTTTAATACATTTCAAGTAATAATAAATTCTAGAAAGAAAAAGAAGCCACACATATGGGAGACTACTTATGGGTAATGACTGCCCTCTAATGGCAGATAATGATTTGTTTTCCCTCCTGGTAATGCTGTCAATAATTGTGACAAGTAAACAGTACACTCCCCAAAGAAAACCTTTTGAATAAAGTAAAGCAAGGATCCCTAGCCTGCCAACTCTAATTCAACACTTCCTCCCCCAATTTGTGAAAGTTAAAGGCTTGTAAGCAATCATACTAGTTGGAAGTCCCCTCACTGTGGTCACCGTCAGGTGGGTAGATTATTTACCCTCTATTGAGTCTCCATTTCCTCATTCTTTAAGTGGACTCTCACTTATGCACCTTGCAGGCATTTGTGTGGATTAAATGAAATAACATCCATGAAATTATCTACTATGTAATAGATGTTCAAAGAATGTGAATCCTGCTTCTCCTTTCCAAAAAGGAAATGAAGGCAAGAATTCCAATACTATTTTTCTTGTTAAGTAGTCAAGTCAGAGCTTAACTGCTGAAATGAAGACTGAAAAAAAAAAGTTTAGAAAAGATTCCCCTGCCTTGTTGTTGGTAATGATCACATGGTCAAATCTACCAGTGGACTGCATGGCTAACTTCATCCATGGTTCCAAAAAGAGTGGTGACCTGGACAGCGGCATTCTTTGTAGGTTGTGAGTTCCAGGAGTCAAACAAATTCCAAATACCCCACACTTACTCACCTGAGCCACTGTGAACTGCCTCTTTTAGAATTTTTAGTTCACTGTTGAATTCAGCAATAAGGGAGCTTTTACACAGAGGGCGTGGGATGAAGCGCCGCTCCAGCTGGTCAGCAATATGTTGCCGGGCAGAAAGCTCTTCATGATTCTCTGCTGGTTGGGCCAGAAGCTGAAAGGAGGGGAGAGATTCTCAAGTCCTCAATCTTCCCATCTGTAGAATGGGCTAATTATTGTACCTATTTTATAGTGGATTGTGAGGATTAAGTAAGATAATACATATGAGCTTTTATTTGTTATTTTTCTTTAAATGTTTACTTACTTTTGAGAGAGAGAGAGAGAGAGCATGCTTGAGCGGGGGAGGGGCAGACAGAGAGGGAGACAGCGGCTACAAAGCGGGGTCTGTGCTGACAGCAGAGTGCCCCATGCACCACTCATACTCAGAAACTGTGAGAGCATGACCTGAACCAAAATCGGACGCTTAACCGACTGAGCCACCGAGGTGCCCCATGTGTGAAGCTTTTAGAACAGTGCCTTATACAGGAAGCTCTTAATCAATACATTATTTTGAATCACTGTCTCAGGAAATCAGGGCAAGAAAAGAATAACACAGTAGATGAATACTGAGGGAGGGGAGAAACAGGCCTTAACTGTTCTTTTTCATGATTATTTAAAATCAGATCTCTGTCATGTCACTGAAGAAAGAACATTCTTCAGATCGTACCATTGGGTCAATCTTTTTTTCCCTTTTCCCCAAGGGGGCAGTGGTGAGTAGAGACAGAGGGCAGAGTTTTACAGACTAGAACAAAGGTCTCACTGCGAAGGTACTTCTAACACGAGGTTTTGTCCTCTGGGATCCTGTTTTGAGCTGTTTTCTCATCAAGCATGGTATTAACAGGGTCCTACTGACTAGCTGTCCCGTGTCCCACGAGCACGGGTGCAGCAATCCTGCCTTAACTGGGAGAAGAGCACATTCCTGGGGCTTGTCATTTCTAGGAAAAGCACACACCACACCTTGCACTGGATGAAAGGGCGTAAGAGCACGAAGATGGGTATTCGGGTCCGCACGATGAAGTCGAGGAAGTCCCACAGGGCCAGGCCTCCCACCTTCCGCAGGGCCATCTCCTTCACCTGGAGGCTCAGCCAGTACCACTGGCTTCCCAGCTGCCTCTCAAAGCAGACGAGAATCACCTTCAGCGCTTTACACGAGGAAAAGAGAAGAGTAAGTCCGCATACTTGTGCTTTAGAGGAACGCTGCTCACAGCCACAGCCCTTTATGTGTCAGAAAATGTTCTGAATTTCTAAATCCTCTCAAGTTTCCAGAAACGTACATGTACTCCTGGGCGAGAGTATTCTGACATCAAGATAAAAATCTGGATGGTCAACATGCTTTGATTCTGATCAGGAGAACGCAGACATCTTTCTTAAGCGCATTTCGCTACCATTGTGGAAAATACAGAGCTCAGCGGTTCACAGGATTGGAAGGGAAATGTGTTGTAAACAGAACGCGTGGCTAATATTTTGCTTTCTGAAAGTTTTGTCCTAGTGGCCTTATGGTAATCCCAGCATATTACTCATACCCTAAGCTAAAACATGGGTATTTTAAAAGACTTTTTTCTTTTAAGCATAGACATAATATATTCTTGTTGTTTAAAGTAAAATCAAACCATACAGAAATACACGGAATTCAAAGAGAAAAAGTCCTTCCCCTTCCCACCTCCCTTGCCAGCCCCATCTCCTCCCCAGAGAGAACCAGGAAATGCATTTGAGTATATCCTTTCAGGTGAAAAAGCTCCATTCTCCCTCCCTCCTTCCCCCCTCTCATATTGCACATCATGTTTATTATTTAAGCCTGTTGGATTTCTTTTGCAATATCTCTTTCTTCCTAGATTCTGGCAGCCCCGTCACAATCTACTTATTTTATTTTATTTTATTTTATTTTATTTTATTTTATTTTATTTTATTTTATTTTATTTTATTTTATTTTATTTTATTTTATTTTATTTTTTTCAGGAAGAAGATTTCCCAAACAGTGTGTCAGGACCAAACAGAATATTGTAGAGATGTCAAACATTATGGCAGGAGCGTCCTCTGACATCTCAGCTCTCTGCACAGGGTCTGGCGTGGGGCAGTCAAGGGAGACTTGGCCTTCCTGATCGTGTTGTAAGGCCCATCCCAGCAACTAAAAGGCACAAACACCTTTATCACGTAGTTAGGACATTTCCAGGGGAAAACCATGCCATGTAACACAGAGAGGGATGTGGTAAGAGTCTTCTTTACCCACCCTCCCCAAAATCTCACCTTCACAGCAATCATTCACCCCCATTCCTTTCCCTTAACTAAACAAACGAACAAATGAACAAAAAGCAACACTCCTCTTTCCCTACCCTGAGCTTGGTGACATTTCTACTGTTATGTGCCTATTAGCCTTCTTTGTGTTTCTGCCATTCTGCTTCCCACCTTCACCTCTTTCAGCCCAGTACATAAGCAGGATAGCAAAGGGCTCAGGAGCAGGGACTCTGGTGCCAGGTGGCTTGGATTTGAAATTTGGCTCTGCTGCTTATTAACTGTGTGACTTTAGGGAAGTTACTCAACCTTTCTGGGCCTTTGCCTCTTCACTCCTAAAATGAGAAGAACATTTATACTTCTTAGAGTTGTTGTGAGGATTCAAAGTATAGAAAATACTGCTTAGTGCACAGTAAGTGCCCAAAATAAACGCAAAAATCAATTTGAAACAGAGGCCCAGTGGCCTGGCCAAGTAACCAAAGGATCCACCTTCATTAAAAAGGCAGACGGCAGAGTGAATTGAAAATAATTACTCATCAAGTGTTTTCTCCTATCCTTGCCTTATGTGTTAAAGCCCACCATCTCCCTCCTCCTCTGTGCAATCCCAAACCTTATGCACGGCTTTATCCCAGAGTCTAGATTTTATCTGAACCCCACATTCTCACGGCTTTGGCAACCAAGCCCCATATGGGTAGGTCCTGTGCACATGCATGCTTGTTTCCTTTTTTCCTTTTCATTCTCATTGTCAATCACATAATTTTCAAATACTTATTTGTTTATTTTTTTTTAAGGAATCTCTATGCCCAATGTGGGGCTCAAACTCACAACCTGAGATCAAGAGTCACATGCTCTACTGACTGAGCCAGCCAGGCACCCCAAGATCTCCCCTTATGATATAGTCCAAACTCCTCACACATTCCAAACTCCAAGGACCTGTTTTTACTGGTGTGTATGGTTCATCTTATACCACCCACATGAAGCTCTACTTTGATAAATTGAAAAATGTTAGGCATGATTTTCTCAACTTGCTCCTTTTGAGATGTTCTGCTGCCAGTGCTCCTTATTTTCAGTGCTATGGCAGGAGTGGGGTTTTTCCCCAGCTTAGTGCATTCAGGGCCAAGGAGGGGGGCTCCAGTGTTCCATGAGGCAGGACCAAGTTAAAGGCAGGGATGGGGTGATAGAAAAGTAGCAGTGGAAGCCAGAAGGAAACTGGCAAGCCTATGGGGGAGAACCAGTTGACTGGCCTCACCAGAATGAAAATTAAGATAGAGATTTAGAGATGCTATTATAGTAAGGGAAGAAAACTAGCTAGTAGGGAGCATAATGTCCTGTAAGGCCACCATGTCTTACTGTGCAGGATGTGGACTGCCCCAATCTAGGGGCTCCGTTCACATAGACGACACACCAGTGAGTCCCATGAGCCATGCGACTCAGTGTCTCTGTGTATTAGACGTAGCCTACATCTGATAGCAGCTACCATAGGTAACCTCATTAGTGATCTCACACTTAACCAGCAAGGAGAAATTCTTACTACAGATGCTTTCCTTACATGCCCAGATGCTGTTAGAAAAACAACCAAGTAATTTAGGCACCACAGATAGGAAACTACTTTGTTTTTCTGGTGTATGTTTACAGACTCTTTTGCAAGGGTGATGCTTCCTACTTGCTGAAGTGGCTTCTTTAAATACCTCTGGACTGAGGTCTTTTAAAATACTTTTTGAGTCAAGGTGTAACATAACTCAGTAAGTATTTACATTACACGTGTATATACACAAACATACATATATACATATATATATACACACACAAACATATATATATATTCTTGTGTGTGTGTGTATATATACAAGTGTGTGTGTATATGGGGGGGCGGGGCGGGCATAGGGATAGGACCTACCCAAGTATGCTGCTTGGCTTGTGGACTCTGCCAGCCCTTCCCTGCGCAAGTCTTTGCTGGCATCCCCAGGGGTGGAGCAGTGGGCAGGGGAGCTCTCCAACATGAAGTTCTTGCTCCTGGACGTGCTGATGATCCGTGGTGGCAGAAGCACATTAATGACTGTCTGCAGGAGCAGCTGTACCTCTGGCTGTTCCAGCCACGGGCTATCTAAGGGACAGAGTTCGCAACAGGGAAGTGGAAAGAAAAGCAAATCACAAGGTAGACTTCCCACATTAGACACAGTAAAATTCAACTCTCTTTCCAATGCCAGACTAGAATACCCTAGAAACTCGGGTGTTTCCCCACCAAGTACAGCTTCTCCTCTGGACAAAAACAGCATCCCTGATACTGGGTGTTTTCTCCATAGTCAGCACCCAAGGGCTTGTGTTCTTAGCCAAATCTCCCGCTTACCATTGCGATCTGCTTTCTTTCTTTCTGCTCAAATACTCATAACGTATTGTCTTTACATTTGAGATAAACTTTCCCTAAAAGAAAAACACCCCAAGAAGGAAGAATAATGAAAGTATATTGGATTTAATGGCAATGGCGGGGTTTACGCTAAGCCTAATGGCAGTAGATTATAAAGTCCATTCACTTGTCAATTCACACCACACTGCATTTCAATTAATACCATCTTCTTAGTGGAAACAATGTTCTCCCGATTTTTGCTGTACTCAAGTGATTTTAAACAGGACACATCTTCCATGAAGTGGAGCAGAGAAACTCTTGACCCAGGGTAGCTAAACTGAAAAGAAAGGAAAACTCTATTTCCTAAGGCAACCCTGTTTAAATCATTCAGATGGACTTCAGTGATGGCCTTCATGGGAAAAAGAGTAAGAAATAATAGTCTGCCACTAAAGAAAGTACAACAGTGATAAATTTCCTTTAGTTAAATTAATCAGACCTTTGCTTCCAGATCCTACTGTGAGCACAAATGGGATGAGTAGATTTAAAAGCATCCCCTCCCTTCGCTCTTGATTGGTGAATGGGGAGATCACATGGCTTAAAGGAAAATCTTCTTTTAAAGCCTGTGCAGCAATAATAGAAAAAAAGATTAATTGACCCCACACCCATTTGGTATGTTTGTTTTTATACAGCACGATGAAGACGGTGATTCCCTGTTGGCTGCTCCTGGAAACTATGAGTTCAATTGCACAGTGTACAAGATTTACTCAAAGCTGATACTTTACCATTTGCTTGACATAACTGAGAGTTATATACCTAAAAAACAGTAACATCTTGAATATTAAATGCAAAATTGTAATACTTGTGGTCTGGCACAAAAAACAACTGCACATCCCCATTCATTTTCTCCATGTGTCCACCAATAAATATTTTAGAGATAGAAGAGAAGGAATAAATGATAGCTTGCCACCTGTTCATCTAGAAGTTATTTAGAAGTCCTCTGACCTCTGCATAAGGCCTTCTCCAAAACAGAAAGGAATAGGCAATATAGAAAGAAATATATGATCTCTGTACACAGGTTATAAAGATGTATCACTTTAGGGATCATTGTTTCCCTTCTGCATGGTAGCCAAAGCTCTTGCTTAATTTCTTTTGTACCATCACCCATTCTCTGGATTATGGACCATCAAGTATAGTTGTCAGACAATGGATGGGTCATTATCCATTTACATCAAGTGTGTATTTCCCATCAGTCACAGAGCTTACTGATGATCTACCATTCTCTAAAATCAGGTGACACACAGAAAGAGGCAGGGGAATTGGCATTCTGCACTTTTTGTCTTGGGAATATTATTTTAAGAAATAAAATAACTGGGAGAGTAAAAAAAAAAAAAAAAAAAAAAAAAAAAAAAAAAAAAGAAACCCACAGTATTCAACCCACAATCATTAAAGTAAATTAAGATATTCAAAGTCTAGTAATAACATTTGAAAGAATTTTATATTGCAATTCTTTCTGTGAATAATTTAAAACCAGACTTTGAATATTACTGTGTCTTTTAATTAACAATTGTGGGCTGATTATCTGTGAACTATTATTTTCCTAAGGTTTTGCACACATTGGAAATGACTTAAGTGGTTCTTAAGATTGTGGCAGGACTGAATGACTCTGCTATTTTTGAGATCTCGAGAAGAATTACAGAAGCACAACTTAGGGCCAAGCTCAGGACTGAAGCTCCAAACGCATAAAAGTTTGGAGATGTTTACACTTTTGTTTCACAGATTTTGCCCAGCCTTTGCAGAAAAAATAGAGAGAACACCATGATCTGGTGCCTCAACCAGCAACTTAATGAGCGTGACAAACAGGTAAGGCAGTCACACCTGTATCTGCAATGCTACAAGCCGGACAACAGCTGTGCTGAAGGGCAGAGGTGGTGAGAGATAAGGGCTGAGATGAAGAAGGGGTAATCCATCAGCAACACTGGAAGGTCCTACCACTCCCATCACCTGAAATACAAACAGAGCACATGACCAGCCTTGACTATTGCAATTTCATGCAACCGTAGTAAGGGAGTCTCATTCAGTAATAATAAAATAATAATAATAATGATGATAATAATAATTTGAAGGTTGGGCATGTTACTTTCAATCTGTTCTTGCTGCCTTCTTCCGAAGGCATGTAATGTCTAGAGTCAGATCGAACATGACACTGGATTCAGCCAAGGTTTTGTAGAATGTTGTTGGTAGCTAACTATGTAAATAATGAGAGATGAACCAAAAACTATTCTAATCAGGAGATTGGACATACTTACTGGTGAATTCAAAGGAATGCAGTCCGCATTCTTTGATGGAGCAGATATTGACAACAATGATGATGGCATAGCTCTATTTGCACTAGGCATTCCAGCTATAGACTTATTGCTCAACTAGTTAAGCAGCAGATCCTACTCAATGAAATGCTCTAACATGGTTTCCACATTGTACAAAACCTTGTGAGGACCAGACTCTAGATATTACATCCATGGTAAAAAAAAGTTTTTTTTCTTCCCATAAATCCTAGACTGGCCAACTCATAGCATCATTTTGCACTAAAAAAGAAAAAAAAAATCTCTTTGCATTTTAAACTCCCCCACCCCAGACTACCTCAACGTCTAGCCAATTGTGCGGTCTCCACCACCCCACTCTCCAACTGGCAGCCCTCAACTCTCAGCGCAACTTAAAGAGGCAAATTGTCAAAGTAGTGCGTGGGAAGCAGCACACCAAAATCCCACCTGTGTAGGGATGGGCCCCTAATCTCCCCACGCACCACCTTGAGATGTACCTCACTGTTTTCAATGTCACCTGAGCCGTCTGTTTTCATGGGTAGGTAGGGGCACAAAGTGGTTGACCTGTAAATCTTCAATTCAGAGAAGTCAATAGCAGAGTTAGTTAAATTTTGCAAAGTTTCATAAGATTGCCACTTGGCTACTCACCAGATTGACACAGACATTGATCAGTGACCTAAGGTGAGGCAGGAAGGATATGATTGGCTGCCTCTGAAGTGTCAAACAAACCCCTTCAATCAAATTGCTGGCAGGCTCCCACTCAACCTGTCGCCTGGAATACAATATAGGAGCCATTAGCAGCGTGGCTCCCTTCTGGAGTCAGTCTGAAACAAGTGAATGAGACAGTGATTCTGACACCATCTAAGACAGGACAGGTGTCTGAGACAACAAAGTGCTTCACACGGGATGAAGTTTACCCATGTTGTTCCAAAAGCACAGAGCACACTGGGAAGGGAAGAAGATACTGAAAACGTAGCAGAGGCACTCCTGCCCCACTCGACTAATGAGACAAAATCTATTGAAGAAAAAACAGAGATGATGAATGGGTTGCATTTTAAGTTCCCTGGTTTTAGCTTTGAGAGAGGGTATAAGACTACAATTTTAGGAAACCCAGCATAGGGGCCATTACATCCAACAGAACTAATCTGACCACAGGCTGCATTTCTGAAATCTATTTATCAGACTACAATTGATCTCATCAGCTTTTACACCAGGATACAACTAATTAGATTTATATGGGTTAACTCCTGCCAAAAACATGACATTAGAAGATAATCGTCCATTTAAAAAAGGATTCTTTCTTGGCCTCCTAAGAAATGATATTTTTTGGCTACTTTCTATGGTCCTATAAGTGGTATAAATCTAAACACAATTAAATGGACATGGGATTTTCTGTAATAAAGTCAATCCAGTCTGTAATTGTCTTCGTGCCAAAAAAGCCATCTCTGTGGCCCCCAAATAAACAGGTTGGGTTTTACTGATCTCAACACTATTTCCAAATATCATCCTGCAAACAATTTCTAAGTTTATATTTCCAACCAACGTAGAATATCTATAATGATGAAATGAAAATGTTCATAAGTGAGGATATATTGACATCCCTGATTCTCAAGTAACCTACAAGGTCAGGTTCAATCAACATTTCCCTTGTTGAACTGAGATCACCTAAAAAAATTAAATCCAAGGCAACCTCAAATTCTGAGGCTGTACCCCAAATAAATTGCCTATAATCGGCCAATCTATGCATTAATTCAGAAATCTACTTTTAAGAAGCATGATGTTCTCTATAATGGGCTTGATTATATGACAAATGAGTCAGCTATGGAGATGTTTAATATCTTAACATACAAAATTTTTTAAGAAAAAAAACTTATTTTGACACACCCTTGTAAGAATTATAAGACTGTGGCCATTTACCAAAGGGCACAAATGTTCCACTGGGACCACTAAAAACATAGGTGTGCTGTAAGGACACAGACATTTCCATGCCACTGAAATAAATAACCTTGAAATAACATATAGGCATTCGTCATCATGTTATAAAGGAATATAGGAACAAAATATCAACTGCTGGAATGAAATCTTTCAATTTCTTTTTTATAAATCCAACAGCTCCTGATGGCTATATAAATGAACAAAAGAGCACAGGCTAAAACCTGGAAAAGTTCTGACAAATTGAATGCTAAGTGCTACAAATTCTTGGACAAGAGTTGCATTGATTTGTGGTTAATATTAAAGGGACCGAAAATGCTCTCATGAAATCAAACTTGAAATTTCTGAGTTAGTAGGTTTATCAACATTTAATCAATTGAACTGTCTGTCTACAAGTTTCCAAACTGGACTCAGATCTCCAGGTAGTCTGGTTCCTTGCATAGAAAGGTTATCAGTGAATAATGCAGGTTACTGAACAGAGATCAAAGGGTAATTGTGTTAATTTAGTATCACCCTGAATTAGATGAAAAGGTGAAACTTAGGTATTTGTTATTAATCCTGGGATTCTTTCCAGCTCCTATGTGGCTGCTTATTATTAAGATTTGCCTTTCTCTAAACTGGTAACTAAACTACTATGCTAAAGACAGTATTTTTTGAACATCAGATTAATTTTTCTTTTCTCCTCAGTGGTTTTATTTATAAGGCATACTCTGCTTTATTTCAAAAGAAATTGAAGGATACTCACTGAATTTCTTATGTTTGTCAGATGAGGAACATGATAGCTAAGAAATGAACAGAACTTTCAAGATGAACACATATAATTTTAAAGAATATGTTATTTCTTCAAAATGTAGACCCTGCTACTCATGCATCCATATACCTGGTTAGCTATGCACGTATGCCAACAGAAAACTTTCAAGTCATTCATATAACTCCAGATTGTGCCGCCATCTTAAAAGACGGTAACCCCCAACTTTGAATCCGCAATATCAACGGTTGACCAGGAGGCCTTCTCACCTCAAAGTAGGCATCTTATGAATTTTGTTGAACATTCTATCCAGTCTCTTTAAAATGAGGATAAGGGCTGGCCTCACTGCCTCGGCTGTCCAATCGGTAATGGGTAGCATCTCCATGATGTAGCGCCGAAGCCCACGGCTCTCCATTGTCTGGGTGTCGTATGGTGCCAGCTTCAGAAGGGAGTGTGCAATTTCTGCCAACCTGCATTTTTTTTTTAAAGAATAAGCGTAGAATGCCACAATGGGGATTTCCCCGTATAGCACCATGTTAATAAGCCTTCTTTCAGCATACCAACCCCCTGAACTAAAAACATTCTTCCCTCTACCTTCTATCCCTTAGGTCTTCTTGCATGACCAATACATTGATACCTGCACATACATATTAGCAAAGAATCATAGAATATTCCAGAGGGTAAATGTGAATAGCATCTGATGAGTAAATTAAAACCTAGAGAGATTAAGGACAGGCCAAACATATCTAGAGAATATGTATGCATGTATATGTATGTGAGGATACACACATACACAAATACATACCTACATGCATATATGTGAAAGGTACGTATATACACAAATATGGGTATAAAACAAAACTTAAACTTTAAATGTACAATAAAATCACTAATATCAAGGGCTCAAATAAACTTCATGTCTCCATAGCTCCTTTGCTGCCCATAGTTAAGGTCAAAGGCATATATA